ATCAGCCGGATTTTCACTAGATCTGATTTGTTGAATGTTGATCGTCCCTTTTTTCTCCAGATCATGAGTAGAAAAGAACTTTGGTGATATGTATTTTGTTGTGTCTCCTTTGATGTAGCCTTCTTTAATCTGAGCTATGCACTCAGTGTTGTCTTCGTTGATCACAGTAGGGTGACAAGTAATAGGTTTCATACCGCATTCATTTTGGATGTGTTGAATCATAGACCGCAGCCACACACATTCTCTTCCGGTTTCATATAATGCAATTAACTCTGAATGATTTGATGATATAGCTGTCAATGTCTGCTTCATAGATCTCCATGAGATTGCGGTGTTACCATAAGTAAATACGTACCCGGTTTGTGATTTCGCCTTTTGAGGATCTGATAAGTATCCAGCGTCTACATATCCGATTCAAGCTGCTTTTGCATCTCATTCATGCCCAACAAAATGAGATGTCAGTTGATTGTTAGGACTTGGGACTGAAGACTATTTTAAAATAATGATAGATGTGATACGGAGCAGTAGATAACTTTTCTCCTCACAAGCCTTTAATTTTAATTTGTCTTAAAATTAGTTAATTAATAATACTAATAATGGCAATAAGGAATGTAATAAGTTGAACCGTTGTACGTAGTAATAATTTGAACAAATCAATGAATTTTATTTGTGCCAACTATATTACACATATAATGATAAAACAGGTTATTTAATAATATTTACATATTAGTGTTATTACTTAATAATTCTAAAATGTAAATACCAATATTTCTAAAGTTATTGCCCTAAATAGGAGTAAAATAATATGAAAGTCCCAAAATAAGAGTTCTTGTTAGTTTACTCCACATTTCTAATTAAGTTTAAAATAATAATTTTGTAGTATGACAAATATTAGCAAAAGAGAATTCGACGTTCTTGATTTGTCCGGTCAAAAATATTTGGAATGGAAAGTTGATGCTTTAGCACATTTGAAGGCTAATAGTCTCGGAGACACTATTGAGGCTATTAATCAATCATCTTCCCAGGATAAAGCGAAAACTATAATTTTTCTCCGTCACCATCTTCATGAAAGTCTCAAATCTGAATATCTTTGGTTGATGACCCAAAAGAATTATGAGACAATTTAGAGGAGAGGTTTGACAATCAACAAAAGGTACTTTTGCCTAAAGCTCAGTACGACTGGATCAATTTCAGATTCCAAGATTTTAAATCAATCAGTGACTATAATTATGCTATGTTCCAAATAACATCCAAATTAAAGTTATGTGGACAAAAGTTACTGATGTTGATATATTGGAGAAAATCTTTTCTATCATGCATATTACTAATATGCTGCTACAGCAGAAATCTAGAGAAAACGGTTTTAAAAAATACTCTGACTTAATATCAGTTTTACTTGTAGCTGAGCAAAATAATGACCTTTTAATGAAGAACCACAACTTGAGACCCACCGGTTCTAGTCCTTCGATTTATGGTCCATTTGGCCCTAATTTAGCCATTGAATCAAATGCAACACACAGTGGCCCTCGAAGGCATTTTAAACGTGGGCATTTTAGTGGTCATAATAACAAGCCTCACCGAGGATATAAACAGGTCGAAACCAAATTACAAGGGCAAGGGCAAACAAAAAGTTCATCAAATAAACCGCCCTCCAAAATCCTCGGGAAAGACGACTTGTTATAAGTGTGGTATGACGGGGCATTGGGCTAATAAATGTTGTACGGTTAAACACCTGGTGGAGTTATTTCAAGCTTCCATGAATCTAAATAAAGGCAAAAATGTGGAAGCCAATTATGTCAATGATAGAGCTCCACCTATGCCAAAATTTGACGTAGCCGATTTTTTTGCTGATGATGCCATTATGGATGATGCTTTTGCCATAAACCAAAATGTTACAAAATAAAATAGTAGAATCCTTCTGTTGTAAAATACTAGTTAAATTTTATGTACTTTTTCTTCTTTTATTTTGTTTTTAAATAAATGTGTGTAATGTATGCACTCTTATGATCAATAATATGCATAATTTGTGATCAAGCTTATGTTTATTTATATATATTGAAGATATGGATCATTCAAATGATAAAGAGCTATTTCTGATAGACAGCGCCACAACGCACACCATTTTGAGAAATAAAATATATTTTTCTCAAATGACTTTAGTTGAAGCTAAAGTCAATACAATATCAGGTGCTGCGAAACTCATTGAAGGCTCTAGGAAAGCATATGTGATGCTCCCTAATGGGACAAAAATAATTATAAATGGCGCTTTATACTCCAGCAAATCGCGGAGAAATTTATTGAGCTTTAAAGATATGCGTCAAAATGGTTATCACATAGAAACCATGAATGAAAACCAAAAGGAATATATTTGTCTTACGACAACTAAATCTGGCACTAAATATATTTGTGAAAAATGCCAGCATATTCCTCAGGACTATATTTCACATATATTAGTCCATTTGAAATAAATTTGGTTTCTAACACAAAGTTAGATGATCATGTTGTGGCATGACCGTTTAGGTCACACAGGCCAGGTAATGATGCATAAAATCATTAAAGAAGGTTGAGAATTCATGTTGTGCTGTTTATGTTCCAATTGCTCCACCTCATCGTACAAAAATGGGTCATCAAAGAAGGTTGAGAATTTATGTTGGTTTTGAATCTCCCTCAATAATAAAATATCTCGAACCGATGAGTGGTGACCCTTCTGAACAGGATGAACAAATGAAGGCCAATACGAGAGATCAAAATAAGAAGTGTTCTACTGGATGGAATGCCAATGAAGCCTGAATCTTTTAAATGAAAAGGAAAAGGAAATGTTAAATCTTGAGTTCGAAATTGCATTAGGAGAGGGAAGGGTGTACCGATGAAATTGTTTTTGACGAAAAAATGGATACAAAAACCTAAAAAAAAAGAAAAGAACAAAAAAAAGAAAACAGAAAAGCAAAAAAAAAAGAATAGAGAACAAAAAAGCAAAAAAAAAAAACAGAAAACCAAAAAAAAAAGAAAACAAATACAAAAAAAAGGTGAAATAAAAAAAAACAAAAACTTATGTCCCAGTGCTGTTGCTTTGTTCATGACGTGTGAAAGCCTATCCATGCGAAAACAATTGTGCACATTCATTGCAAGAATTCCAGTTTGACGTTTTTTTGGCAAGAGTCACTAAAGGGTTGCAAAACTGACAATGATCTGGACCATTTCTCTGCTTTAAAGGTCAAACTGAACCCTGTTAATGTTTTTTCCGTTGTTATTGTATTATTCATTTTCTATTCCTTCTCAACATGGGAAAATTTTATATGGGCATTGCAGTTGTAAGATTTGGACTTTTAGTAACCCGAGATTTGCCCATCGTGAGAAGGCAATCAAGAGCACACTCTGGGATGAAGAAACGCAAGATGCTTGAGAGTTGTTACATGATAAATGCAGGTGTATATATATGTTATGCCTTTGTTCTTTTTAGGCGCCTCTAGTCATAATATTTCTGTTTAAAAATAGAATGGTGGGTATTAACAAGTGGTATACCATGTTATAATTCCTGAGTTGTATCAATAAAAAATTATCTTCCGTTTGTTTACTATTACTAGTCCTACATGAACATTTTTCTTTTGTGCCTATTGATTTTGTTTTTCCAAACAGGTTAAACTAATTCAAAAGTAGCCCAATCGAAAAGGTCCAAATGTGTGTAGTCTACTGGCTGGATGATTCGGATTTGCCTAATCTGAGTATAGTTTCGTGAGAAACCGAAGTCTCATCACCAAATGTTTCGCCAAGTCTTACCTAGCAGCAGAATTCTTGGTAAGCACATATTGGTGCCAGTGATAGCTTGAACCTGCTGATGGTACCCCTTGATGGGACACAGTCTTGCTAGAAATCTGAGGTTCAAGTTCCTTGAGTAAGTTTGTCAAGCCTGGAAAACTATAAAGTGGTTAATAATATATTTTTCTTATTTGCATATCTTTGACCGTTTACTGCTTTTCAGGCAGTAGAGAAGATTTCGGTAGGAGTTATATGGGGAGTGATGGCACTGGAAGAAGTACGTTCCAAGCATAGTTTAGAAATTATGCAACTAAATTGTTCGGTAAGTCATCTTCCCTCAAGCAAGAAGTTATATTTTTTTTTCCTTTCTAATTATTTGATCTTCATGTCACAATCTATAACAGCCCATTCAGCTGTACAATCATGAGCATGAATGCAATTAGATAATTAGTCCAATACTAAATTTCGATAGAGAGCTTGACTGATGGAACCCTAAATGATTTTAAGTGATTATAGGCTCATACGTTAGATCATTTCATAAGTGCATATGTAATTCTGAAGTGGTATCAATAAAATACTTAGCATCCTTGTGTTTACTATTCTAACATTAGCACTTATCTTTCCTGCCTTGTGATTTTCCTTCTGAACAGGATGAACAAATGAAGGCCAATACGAGAGATCAAAATAAGAAGTGTTCTACTGGATGGAATGCCAATGAAGCCTGAATCTTTTAAATGAAAAGGAAAAGGAAATGTTAAATCTTGAGTTCGAAATTGCATTAGGAGAGGGAAGGGTGTACCGATGAAATTGTTTTTGACGAAAAAATGGATACAAAAACCTAAAAAAAAAGAAAAGAACAAAAAAAAGAAAACAGAAAAGCAAAAAAAAAGAATAGAGAACAAAAAAGCAAAAAAAAAAAAACAGAAAACCAAAAAAAAAAGAAAACAAATACAAAAAAAAGGTGAAATAAAAAAAAACAAAAACTTATGTCCCAGTGCTGTTGCTTTGTTCATGACGTGTGAAAGCCTATCCATGCGAAAACAATTGTGCACATTCATTGCAAGAATTCCAGTTTGACGTTTTTTTGGCAAGAGTCACTAAAGGGTTGCAAAACTGACAATGATCTGGACCATTTCTCTGCTTTAAAGGTCAAACTGAACCCTGTTAATGTTTTTTCCGTTGTTATTGTATTATTCATTTTCTATTCCTTCTCAACATGGGAAAATTTTATATGGGCATTGCAGTTGTAAGATTTGGACTTTTAGTAACCCGAGATTTGCCCATCGTGAGAAGGCAATCAAGAGCACACTCTGGGATGAAGAAACGCAAGATGCTTGAGAGTTGTTACATGATAAATGCAGGTGTATATATATGTTATGCCTTTGTTCTTTTTAGGCGCCTCTAGTCATAATATTTCTGTTTAAAAATAGAATGGTGGGTATTAACAAGTGGTATACCATGTTATAATTCCTGAGTTGTATCAATAAAAAATTATCTTCCGTTTGTTTACTATTACTAGTCCTACATGAACATTTTTCTTTTGTGCCTATTGATTTTGTTTTTCCAAACAGGTTAAACTAATTCAAAAGTAGCCCAATCGAAAAGGTCCAAATGTGTGTAGTCTACTGGCTGGATGATTCGGATTTGCCTAATCTGAGTATAGTTTCGTGAGAAACCGAAGTCTCATCACCAAATGTTTCGCCAAGTCTTACCTAGCAGCAGAATTCTTGGTAAGCACATATTGGTGCCAGTGATAGCTTGAACCTGCTGATGGTACCCCTTGATGGGACACAGTCTTGCTAGAAATCTGAGGTTCAAGTTCCTTGAGTAAGTTTGTCAAGCCTGGAAAACTATAAAGTGGTTAATAATATATTTTTCTTATTTGCATATCTTTGACCGTTTACTGCTTTTCAGGCAGTAGAGAAGATTTCGGTAGGAGTTATATGGGGAGTGATGGCACTGGAAGAAGTACGTTCCAAGCATAGTTTAGAAATTATGCAACTAAATTGTTCGGTAAGTCATCTTCCCTCAAGCAAGAAGTTATATTTTTTTTTCCTTTCTAATTATTTGATCTTCATGTCACAATCTATAACAGCCCATTCAGCTGTACAATCATGAGCATGAATGCAATTAGATAATTAGTCCAATACTAAATTTCGATAGAGAGCTTGACTGATGGAACCCTAAATGATTTTAAGTGATTATAGGCTCATACGTTAGATCATTTCATAAGTGCATATGTAATTCTGAAGTGGTATCAATAAAATACTTAGCATCCTTGTGTTTACTATTCTAACATTAGCACTTATCTTTCCTGCCTTGTGATTTTCCTTCTGAACAGGATGAACAAATGAAGGCCAATACGAGAGATCAAAATAAGAAGTGTTCTACTGGATGGAATGCCAATGAAGCCTGAATCTTTTAAATGAAAAGGAAAAGGAAATGTTAAATCTTGAGTTCGAAATTGCATTAGGAGAGGGAAGGGTGTACCGATGAAATTGTTTTTGACGAAAAAATGGATACAAAAACCTAAAAAAAAAGAAAAGAACAAAAAAAAGAAAACAGAAAAGCAAAAAAAAAAGAATAGAGAACAAAAAAGCAAAAAAAAAAAAACAGAAAACCAAAAAAAAAAGAAAACAAATACAAAAAAAAGGTGAAATAAAAAAAAACAAAAACTTATGTCCCAGTGCTGTTGCTTTGTTCATGACGTGTGAAAGCCTATCCATGCGAAAACAATTGTGCACATTCATTGCAAGAATTCCAGTTTGACGTTTTTTTGGCAAGAGTCACTAAAGGGTTGCAAAACTGACAATGATCTGGACCATTTCTCTGCTTTAAAGGTCAAACTGAACCCTGTTAATGTTTTTTCCGTTGTTATTGTATTATTCATTTTCTATTCCTTCTCAACATGGGAAAATTTTATATGGGCATTGCAGTTGTAAGATTTGGACTTTTAGTAACCCGAGATTTGCCCATCGTGAGAAGGCAATCAAGAGCACACTCTGGGATGAAGAAACGCAAGATGCTTGAGAGTTGTTACATGATAAATGCAGGTGTATATATATGTTATGCCTTTGTTCTTTTTAGGCGCCTCTAGTCATAATATTTCTGTTTAAAAATAGAATGGTGGGTATTAACAAGTGGTATACCATGTTATAATTCCTGAGTTGTATCAATAAAAAATTATCTTCCGTTTGTTTACTATTACTAGTCCTACATGAACATTTTTCTTTTGTGCCTATTGATTTTGTTTTTCCAAACAGGTTAAACTAATTCAAAAGTAGCCCAATCGAAAAGGTCCAAATGTGTGTAGTCTACTGGCTGGATGATTCGGATTTGCCTAATCTGAGTATAGTTTCGTGAGAAACCGAAGTCTCATCACCAAATGTTTCGCCAAGTCTTACCTAGCAGCAGAATTCTTGGTAAGCACATATTGGTGCCAGTGATAGCTTGAACCTGCTGATGGTACCCCTTGATGGGACACAGTCTTGCTAGAAATCTGAGGTTCAAGTTCCTAGAGTAAGTTTGTCAAGCCTGGAAAACTATAAAGTGGTTAATAATATATTTTTCTTATTTGCATATCTTTGACCGTTTACTGCTTTTCAGGCAGTAGAGAAGATTTCGGTAGGAGTTATATGGGGAGTGATGGCACTGGAAGAAGTACGTTCCAAGCATAGTTTAGAAATTATGCAACTAAATTGTTCGGTAAGTCATCTTCCCTCAAGCAAGAAGTTATATTTTTTTTTCCTTTCTAATTATTTGATCTTCATGTCACAATCACTAACAGCCCATTCAGCTGTACAATCATGAGCATGAATGCAATTAGATAATTAGTCCAATACTAAATTTCGATAGAGAGCTTGACTGATGGGACCCTAAATGATTTTAAGTGATTATAGGCTCATACGTTAGACCATTTTATAAGTGCATATGTAATTCTGAAGTGGTATCAATAAAAAACTTAGCATCCTTGTGTTTACTATTCTAACATTAGCACTTATCTTTCCTGCCTTGTGATTTTCCTTCTGAACAGGATGAACAAATGAAGGCCAATACGAGAGATCAAAATAAGAAGTGTTCTACTGGATGGAACGCCAATGAAGCCTGAATCTTTTAAATGAAAAGGAAAACGAAATGTTAAATCTTGAGTTCGAAATTGCCATTAGGAGAGGGAAGGCGTGTACCGATGAAATTGTTTTTGACGAAAAAATGGATACAAAAACCTAAAAAAAAGAAAAGAACAAAAAAAAGAAAACAGAAAAGCAAAAAAAAAGAATAGAGAACAAATAAGCAAAAAAAAAAAATAGAAAACCAAAAAAAAAAGAAAACAAATACAAAAAAAAGGCGAAATAAAAAAAACAAAAACTGATGTCCCAGTGCTGTTGCTTTGTTCATGAGGTGTGAAAGCCTATCCATGCGAAAACAATTGTGCCTAAAGTAAGTTTATCAATCGTGGAAAAGTAAAGATAACTCTTTAGTATATTTTTCATATTAGTATATCTCTAACCGTTCACTACTTTTCAGTTTTCAGGCAGTACAGAATGTTCTGGAATGAGCTATTTGTAGAGTGATGACACTGAAGTAGTACGTTAAGCAAGGCTTTGAAATTATTCAACTAAATTGTTTTGTAAGTTTTCTCCCACCAGAAATAATTTGTAGTTTTTTGTTGTTTCTACTTATTTGATCTTTCATTTCACCACCAATAGCCACAGATTCAGTTTTTTGTTGCTCAGTTACATATGCTTTGTGTGATATGCAGTTCTATTTTTTTTTACTTCCCTTTGAACATTTTTATCTGCATTTTTCGTTGCATGATTACATATGCTTCTCTAGATTACACTGCGAATTAGATCATAAATAGTTCAGGCCCTGTTTCATGACACATACCTTACTGTCTTCGAGGAGCAGATATTAAAACATAGACACTCTAGATACATGGAACCTGAATCTGTGCTTTTGTTTATGATCTTACATAAAGTATGAGACATTGATAAAATGTCATAACTGATAGTTGGTTTCTGTGTTGAGAAACATGTATGCAATTTCACCAATGGGGTGGAATTTCATGTACGTATCCTTTTTCATAAGATAGATTTGTTTGACAATTCAGTACGCATCTTACACCTGCCTCTCAAGCAAGAAGTTATATTTTTTCTTTTCTAATTATTTTATCTTCATTTCACAATCACTAACAGCCTATTCAGCAGTACAAACATGAGCATGAATGCAATTAGTGAATTAGATAATTAGTCAAGTACTAAATTTTGATAGAGAGCTTGACTGATGGGACCCTAAATGATTTTACGTGATTATAGGCTCATACGTTAGACCATTTTATAAGTGCATATGTTATTCTGAAGTGGTATCAATAAAAAACTTATCATTCTTGTGTTTACTATTCTTGCATTAGCACTTATCTTTCCTGCCTTGTGATTTTCCTTCTGAACAGTATAAACAAATGAAGGCCAATACGAGAGATCAAAATAAGAAGTGTTCTACTGGATGGAACGCCAATGAAGCCTGAATTTTTTTCATGAAAAGGAAAACGAAATGCTAATCTTGAGTTCGAAATTGCCATTACGGGAAGGAAGGCGTGTACCGATGAAATTGTTTTTGACAAAAAAATGGATACAAAAACCTAAAAAAAGAAAAGAACAAAAAAAATAGAAAACAAAAAAGCAAAAAAAAAAAATAGAAAACAAAAAAAAAATAGAAAACAAAAAAAAGAAAACAAAATACAAAATAAAAGTCGAAAAAAAAACAAAACAAAAACACATGTCCCAGTGCTGTTGCTTTGTTCATGAGGTGTAAAAGCCTAGCCCTGCGAAAACAATTGTTCCTAAAGTAAGTTTATCAATCGTGGAAAAATAAAGATAAGTCATTAGTATATTTTTCATATTTGTATATCTTTAACCGTTCACTACTTTTCAGTTTTCAGGCAGTAGAGAAGGTTCTGGAATGAGCTATTTGTAGAATGATGGCACTGAAGTAGTACACGGTGAGCAAGGCTTTGAAATTATTCAACTAAATTGTTTTGTAAGTTTTCTCCCACCAGAAATAATTTATAGTTTTTTGTTGTTTCTACTTATTTGATCTTTCATTTCACCACCAATAGCCACAGATTCAGTTTTTTGTTGCTCAATTACATAAGCTTTGTGTGATATGCAGTTCTATTTTTTTTACTTCTCTTTGAATATTTTTATCTGCATTTTTTGTTGCATGACTACATATGCTTCTCTAGATTACACAGCGAATTAGATCATCCATAGTTCAGGCCCTGTTTCATGACACATACCTTACTGTCTTCCAGGAGCAGATATTAAAACATAGACACTCTAGAAACATGGAACCTGAATCAGTGCTTTTGTTTATGATCTTACATGAAGTATGAGACATTGATATATTGTCATAACTGATAGTTGGTTTCCGTGTTGAAAAACGTGTATGCAATTTCACCAATGGGGTGGAATTTCATGTACATATCCTTTTATACAAGATAGATTTGTTTGACAATTCAGTAAGCATCTTACACCTGCCTCTTAAGCTATATTTATCATTTTGTGTAGATTTGTGGATGCTCAGGTTACTGTAATTTCAGGCATACTTGTGTGCTTCTTTTACCTTTTGTTTCTTGATTCTGCAGGACCTTAAAAGTTCTTGCGGAAGTTCACAATCATGGAAGCCAAGGCACATTCATTGCAAAAATTCCAGTTTGACGTTTTTTTGGCAAGAGTGACTAGAAGGGTTGCAAAACTGACAATGATCTGGACCATTTTTCTGCTTTAAAGGTGAAACTGAACCCTGTTAATGTTTTTTCCGTTGTTATTGTATTATTCGTTTTCTATTCCTTCTCAAAATGGGAAAATTTTATATGGGCATTGCAGTTGTAAGATTTGGACTTTTAGTAACCCGAGATTTGCCCATCGTGAGAAGGCAATCAAGAGCACACTCTTGGATGAAGAAATGCAGGATGCTTGAGAGATGTTACATGACAAATACCGGTGATAGCTTGGATCAAGAGCAGAATTCTTAGTAAGCGCATATTGGTGCCGGTGATAGCTTGAACCTGCTGATGGTACCCCTTGATGGGACACAGTCTTGCTAGAAATCTGAGGTTCAAGTTCCTAGAGTAAGTTTGTCAAATGATGGGAAAACTGTAAAGTGGTTAATAATATCTTTTTCTTTTTTGCATATCTTTGACCGTTCACTGCTTTTCAGGCAGTAGAGAAGATTTTGGTAGGAGTTATATGGGGAGTGATGGCACTAGAAGAAGTACGTTCCAAGCATAGTTTAGAAATTATGCAACTAAATTGTTCGGTAAGTCATCTCCCTCAAGCAAGAAGTTATATATTTTTTCTTTTCTAATTATTTGATCATCATGTCACAATCACTAAATTATACAAACATGAACTTGAATGCAATTAGATAATTAGTCAAATACTAATTTTCGATAGAGAGCTAACTGATGGGACCGGACCCTAAATGATTTTACGTGATTATAGGCTCATACGTTAGACCATTTGATAAGTGCATATGTTATTCTGAAGTGGTATCAATAAAAATCATATCATTCTTGTATTTACTATTGTTACGTTAGCACTTATCTTTCCTGCCTTGTGATTTTCCTTCTGAACAGGATGAACAAATGAAGGCCAATACGAGAGATCAAAATAAGAAGTGTTCTACTGGATGGAATGCCAAAGAAGCTTGAATCTTTTAAATGAAAAGGAAAAGGAAATGTTAAATCTTGAGTTCGAAATTGCCATCAGGAGAGGGAAAGGCGTGTACCGATGAAATTGTTTTTGATGAAAATATGGATACAAAAACCTAAAAAAAGAAAAGAAAAAAAAATAGAAAACAAAAAAGCAAAAAGAAAAAAAAACAAAAAAAGAAAACAAATACAAAAAAAACGGCGAAAAAAAAAACAAAACAAAAACACATGTCCCAGTGCTGTTGCTTTGTTCATGAGGTGTGAAAGCCTAGCTCTGCGAAAACAATTGTTCCTAAAGTAAGTTTATCAATCGTGTAAAACTAAAGATAAGTCATTAGTATATTTTTCATATTTCTATATCTTTAACCGTTCACTACTTTTCAGTTTTCAGGCAGTAGAGAAGGTTTTGGAATGAGCTATTTGTAGAGTGATGGCACTGAAATAATATGTTAAGCAAGGCTTTGAAATTATTCAACTAAATTGTTTTGTAAGTTTTCTCCCACCAGAAATAATATATAGTTTTTTGTTGTTTCTACTTATTTGATCTTTCATTTCACCACCAATAGCCACAGATTCAGTTTTTTGTTGCTCAATTACATATGCTTTGTGTGATATGCAGTTCTATTTTTTTTACTTACTTCCCTTTGAACATTTTTATCTGCACTTTTTGTTACATGATTACATATGCTTCTCTAGATAACACTGCGAATTAGATCATCAATAGTTCAGGCCCTGTATTTGAAGTTATATATTTTTCCTTTAGGAAGTTATATATTTTTCGAAGTTATATATTTTTCCTTTAGGAAGTTATATATTTTTCCTCTAGATAAATGATTACTTTAGGAAGTTATATATTTTTCCTTTCTAATGATTTGATCTTCATGTCACAATCACTAACAGCCTATTCAGCAGTACAAACATGAGCATGAATGCAATTAGATAATTAGTCAAATACTCAATATCGATAGAGAGCTTGACTGATTTTACGTGATTATAGGCTCATACGTTAGACCATTTCATAAGTGCATATGTAATTCTGAAGTGGTATCAATAAAAAACTTATCATACTTGTGTTTACTATTCTAACATTAGCACTTATCTTTCCTGCCTTTTGATTTTCCTTCTGAACAGGATGAACAAATGAAGGCCAATACGAGAGATCAAAATAAGAAGTGTTGTACTGGATGGAATGCCAAAGAAGCCTGAATCTTTTAAATGAAAAGGAAAAGGAAATGTTAAGTCTTGAGTTCGAAATTGCAATCAGGACAGGGAAGGCGTGTACCGAAGAAATTGTTTTTGACGAAAAAATGGATACAAAAACCTAAAAAAAAACGAAACGAATAAAAAAAAGAAAATAAAAAAGCCAAAAAAAAAAGAAAACAAAAAAGCCAAAAAAAAACAACAATCATGGCACTGAAGTAGTACGTTAAGCATGGCTTTGAAATTATTCAACTAAATTGTTTTGTAAGTTTTCTCCCACCAGAAATAATTTATAGTTTTTTATTGTTTCTATTTATTTTATCTTTCATTTCCCCACCAATAGCCACAGATTCAGTTTTTTGTTGCTCAATTACATATGCTTTGTGTGGAATGCAGTTCTATTTTTTTTACTTTCCTTTGAACATTTTTATCTGCATTTTTTGTTGCATGATTACAAATGCTTGTCTAGATTACACTTCGAATTAGATCATCAATAGTTCAGGTCCTGTTTAATGACACATAAGTTATATTTATCATCTTGTGTAGATTCGTGGATGCACAGGTTGCTGTAATTTCAGGCATACTTGTTGTGTGCTTCTATTACCTTTTGTTTCTTGATCTGCAGGACCTTAAAAGTTTTTGCGGAAGTTCACAATCATGGAAGCTAAGGCACATTCTTTGCAACATTTCAAGTTTGACTTTTTTTGGCAGGACTCACTAGAAGGGTTGCAAAACTAACAATGATCTGGACTATTTCTCTGCTTTAAAGGTAAAAGTCTCACCGTGAAACTGAACCCTGTTAATGTTTTTTCCCTTGTTATTGTGTTACTCTTTTTCAATTCCTTCTCAACATGGGAAAATTTTATATGGGCATTGTAGTTGTTAAGCTTTGGACTTTTAGTAACCCGAGATTTGCCCATCGTGAGAAGGCAATCAAGAGCACACTCTTGGATGAGGAAAAGCTGGATGCTTGAGAGATGTTACATGATAAATGCAGGTGTATATATATATGTTATTCCTTTGTTCTCTTTAGGCGCCTCTTGTCATTATATTTCTGTTTAAAAATAGAGTGGTGGGTATTAACAAATGTTATACCATTTTATGACTTCATTTAAAATCATTTCGGATCTTCCGTTTATTTATTTTCATTGCGGAAGTTTCTGCGGTGCGTTTAAAATCATTCCGGTTTGTGTTTGGCTTTATATAGGTCGCAGACGCGTACGATGAAGCTCTGAGCATTGTGAAACTGGATTTGGGAGTGGGCATTATAAAGCTAAGGTGAGTGTTGTACTTTTCATGTTTTATTTTCACATTATAAGTGTGATTATTTGCAGTGTGTTTAAACTCATCTCGGATTGGCTTAGTTTGAAATTTTACATTTGAAAACAGTGAAGAAAGAATATTAATTTAAAACTAACTTCTCATTCTGTAGTAATTGAGAAGAAAGACTTTATTGCAAGCATTAGTTTTTTTTTTTTGATATTGTGAGTTATAAGTTTGTTTGTTTAAAATATATATATGATCCTTGGAATTTGTTGTTAACAACTAAAATTGATCATAGTTCTAAAAAGAATTCTAAAAAGAATTCATGTAAGAAAAGTTGATATTCAGAATCCTAAAGTATAAAGTGAAGTTTTTTCGGAGTGAGGTAGTATTACTACGATCAGGAGGGTTATTCTATCGATAAGGTTAAATGAATGAATACTTTTTGTTAAATTACTTTTGTAATTAGTTGCAGGTTGATGTCCTTATTCTTTTATGTTGTATTGTTTGTTGCTAGAACAACCAAAGTGTTATCTATACTCCGATCTGTTACATGTTGTTTTAGTTCTCAGTTAAAACTCCTAAACATCACTAATTATACTTTGTTTCTTACAAATCATGAGTTTCTTCTAGTTGCGCATGATGTCTACCTTTTTTTAAATTTTACATTGGAAAGCAATAGTGAAAGAATAATGGTAGTTATGCTTGGTCTCTACCAACTTTTTCCAAAGCCCATTAAATCTTAAGATGAATGGTAGTTAATTGAATTCTTAAAGTTAGTATAATGATTTTGAGAACCTCCTTCCAAACAACTTTACAACTCTTTACTAGTCTCGGAAATTTACTCATATTTATTAAAAAATCTAGATGGACAAGCATCTGGAGAATCGGATATCCAATTTCATATAAAAGTTTGTTACGTTTATTGTCTAATTTATTTTCATTGCGTAAGTTTGATTGCTTTGCAGAGCCTTTAAAATCATTTCGGATTGTGTTTGGGTTTATATAGGTCGCAGACGCGTACGATGAAGCTCTGAGCATTGTGAAACTGGATTTAGGAGTGGGCATTATAAAGCTAATGTGAGTGTTGTACTTTTCATGTTCTATTTTCACAGCATAAGTTTGATTATTTGCGGTGTGTTTAAACTCATCTCGGATTTGCTTAGTTTGGTTTTTATTTTTTCGAACACTGATCATACTTCGTTTCTTGCAAATCAAGAGTTTATTTTCCAGTTAAGCTATATTATGTCTACCTTCTTGATATTTTACATTTAAAAGCAGTGAAGAAAGAATAGTAATTTAGAACTAATTTCTCTACTCACAGTTTTGGGTGTGCAGTTGTATATTTTTTACAAAGGCAATCAAACCTTAAGATAAATGGTATTTGTTTGAATTTATTGAGTTAAGACCCGAGAGCTTTCTTCTGAACAACTTTAACAACTATTTACAAGTCTTCGAAATTCACTCATATTTATTCGACCATCTAGATGGGCTAGCGTCTAGAGCGTAAGTTTATTATACATGTTGCAGATGCATATGACGTAGGTTGGAGTACTATGAGGTTCAATTTAGGAGTGGGTGTTATTGGGCTTAGGTGAGTGTTGTGGTTTTTATATTAGGGAAGAAATGAATAAGTTTGATTATTTGGCGGTGTGTCTAAAATCATCTCGGATTGGCCTTCTTTGTTTTTGATTTTACGAGCGGGCTAACGTTGAGAAAGTTGTAAAGCAATTCATTCACAAAATTTGTTAAGTTCAGTGCATGATTTATTTTCCCGTTAGTGTTTTTTTAAAATCAGTTCCGGGTTTGTTTGGCTTTACACAGGTTACACACCGAAGCGCAGCATCAAGATTCGAGCACATTGAAGTTGGAGGTAGGCGTAGGTGATTGTCAGACTGAGTAAGTGTTGTGATTTTTAGTTTATAGTAATTGACAAGAATGACTTTATTGCAAGCGTCAGCTTTTTTTTTGATATTGTGAGTTTAAGTTTGTTTGTTAAAAAGTTTTATCATCCCTGTAATTTGTTGTTTATAACTAAAAATTTTCATAGTTCTAAAAAGAATTCATGTAAGAAAAGTTGATATTCAGAATCCTAAAGTATTTAGTGAAATATTTTCGGAGTGAGGTTGTATGAATGAATACTTTTTGTTAACTTACTTTTGTAATTAGTAGCAGGTTGATGTCCTTATTCTTCTGTGTTGTATTGTTTCTTGCTTGAACAACCAAAGTGTTATATATACTCCGATCTGTTACATGCTGTTTTAGTTATCTGTTAAAACACCGAAACAGTACTAATCATACTTCGTTTCTTACAAATCATGAGTTTATTCTAGTTGGGCTTGAAGTCTTCCTTTTTTTAAATTTTACATTTAAAAGCAATAGTGAAAGAATAATGGTAGTTATGCTTGATCTCTACCAACTTTTTCCAAAGCCCATCAAATCTTAAGATAAATGGTAGTTAATTGAATTCTTTAAGTTAGTATAAAGATCCCGAGAACCTCCTTCCAAAAAGCCTTACAACTCTTTACTAGTCTCGTAAAAACCTTACAACTCTTTAAGTTAGTTTAAAATCATTTCGGATTGTGTTTGGCTTTATATAGTAATTGATTTTTAGTTTATAGTAATTGATAAGAATGACTTTATTGCAAGCGTCAGCTTTTTTTTTTGATATTGTGAGTTTCAGTTTGTTTGTTAAAAAGTTTTATCATCCCTGTAATTTGTTGTTTATAACTAAAAATTTTCATAGTTCTAAAAAGAATTCATGTAAGAAAAGTTGATATTCCGAATCCTAAAGTATTTAGTGAAATATTTTCGGAGTGAGGTTGTATGAATGAATACTTTTTGTTAAATTACTTATGTAATTAGTAGCAGGTTGATGTCCTTATTCTTCTATGTTGTATTGTTTCTTGCTTGAACAACCAAAGTGTTATATGTGTTACATGTTGTTTTAGTTATCTGTTAAAAACACCGAAACAGTACTAATCATACTTCGTTTCTTACAAATCATGAGTTTATTCTAGTTGGGTTTGAAGTCTTCCTTTTTTTAAATTTTACATTTAAAAGCAATAGTGAAAGAATAATGGTAGTTATGCTTGGTCTCTACCAACTTTTTCCAAAGCCCATCAAATCTTAAGATAAATGGTAGTTAATAGAATTCTTTAAGTTGGTATAAAGATCCCGAGAACCTCCTTCCAAAATCTTAAGATAAATGGTAGTTAATAGAATTCTTTAAGTTAGTTTAAAATCATTTCGGATTGTGTTTGGCTTTATATAGGTCGCAGACGCGTACTGTGAAGCTCCGAGCATTTTGAAACTGGATTTAGGAGTGGGCATTATAAAGCTAAGGTGAGTGTTGGACTTTTCATGTTTTATTTTCACAGCATAAGTTTGATTATTTGCGGTGTGTTTAAACTCATCTCGGATTGGCTGAGTTTGGTTTTTATTTTTTTCGAACACTGATCATAATTTGTTTCTTGCAATTCACCAGTTAAGCTATATTATGTCTACCTTCTTGATATTTTACATTTAAAAGCAGTGAAGAAAGAATAGTAATTTAGAACTAATTTCTCTACTCGCAGTTTTGGCTGTGCAGTTGTATATTTATTGGGTTAAGAGCCGAAAGCTTTCTTCTTAACTACTGAAACAACTATTTACTAGTCTCTGAAATTCACTCATATTTATTCGACCATCTAGATGGGCTAGCGTCAAGAGAATCTGAAATTACTTTATATATATAAAGAGTTTGTAAAGTTTATTTTAAATTTATTTTCAGAGCGGAAGTTTAATTATTTGGTGGTGTTTAAAATCGTTTCGGATTGTGCTTTTATTTATACTGGCTGCAGATGCATATGGCAGAGGTTGGAGCTCTATGAAGTAAGAGTGGGTGTCATCGGGCTTAGGTGAGTGTCGTGGTTTTTATTTTAGTGAAGAAATGAATAAGTTTGATTATTTGGCGGTGTGTTTAAAATCATCTCGGATTAGCCTTATTTGGTTTTAATTTTACGAACGAGCTAACGTTGAGAAAGTTGTAAAGCAATGTATTCACATAATTTGTTAAGTTTATTGTATGATATATTTTCCCCTTCAGTTTTTTAAAAAAATCCGTTTGGGGTTTGTTTGGCTTTACATAGGTCATACACAGAAGCACAACATCAAGATTCGAGCACATTGAAGTTGGAGGTAGGCGTGGGTGATTCAGACTGAGTAAGTGTTGTGATTTTTAGTTTATAGTAATTGACAAGAATGACTTTATTGCAAGCGTTAGTTTTTTTTTTATATATTGAGTTTAAGTTTGTTTGTTCAAAAGTTTTATCATCCCTTTAATTTGTTGTTTATAACTAAAAATTTTCATAGTTCTAAAAAGAATTCATGTAAGGAAAGTTGAAATTCTTTTTTATATTGTTGTTAAATTACTTTTGTAATTAGTAGCAGGTTGATGTCCCTTATTCTTTTGTGTTGTATTGTTTGTTGCTTGAACAACCAAAGTGTTATATATACTCTGATCTGTTACATGCTGTTTTAGTTATCTGTTAAAAGCAATAGTGAAAGAATAATGGTAGTTATGTTTGGTCTCTACCAACTTTTTCTAAAGCCCATCAAATCTTAAGATAAATGGTAGTTAATTGAATTCTTTAAGTTTGTATAAAGATCCCGAGAACCTCCTTCCAAAAAACTTTACAACTCTTTACTAGTCTCGTAAATTTACTCATATTTACTCAAAAATCTAGATGGCCAAGCATCTGGAGAATCACATATTCAATTTTATATAAAAGTTTGTCAAGTTTATTGTCTAAGTTATTTGAAGTGTGTAAGTTTGATTGCTTTGCAGTGCGTTTAAAATCATTTAACAAGATCTTTGGCTTTATATAGGTCGCAGACGTGTACGGTGAAGCTCCGAGCATTGTGAAACTGGATTTAGGAGTGCGCATTATAAAGCTAAGGTGAGTGTTTGACTTTTCATGTTTTATTTTCACAGCATAAGTTTGATTATTTGCAGTGTGTGTAAACTCATCTCGGATTGGCTTAGTTTGGTTTTTAGTTTTCAAACACCGATCATACTTCTTTTCTTGCAAATAATGAGTTTATTTTCCGGTTAAGCTCTATTATGTCTACGTTTTTGAAATTTTACATTTAAAAGCAATGAAGAAAGAATATTAATATAAAACTAATTTCTTAACTCGTTGTTTTGGTTGGGCAGATGTATTTTTTTTGCAAAGGCCATCATACCCTAATATAAATGGTATTTTGGTTGAATTTATTGGGTTAAGAGCCTAGAGATTTCTTCTTAACTACTGAAACAACTATTTACTAGTCTCCGAGAAATTTTACATTTAAAAGCAATGAAGAAAGAATATTAATATAAAACTAATTTCTTAACTTGTTGTTTTGGGTGGGCAGTTGTATATTTTTTGCAAAGGCCATCAAACCTTAAGATAAATGGTATTTGGTTGAATTTATTGGGTTAAGAGCATAGAGATTTCTTCTTAATTACTGAAACAACTATTTACTAGACTCTGAAATTCACTCATTTTTATTCGACCAAGGTTTGTTTTTTATTTTTTCAAACACGGATTATACTTCGTTCCTTGCAAGTCATGAGGTTATTTTCCGGTTAAGCTTTGTTATGTTTACCTTTTTAAAATTTTACATTTAAAAGCAGTGAAGAAAAATAGTAGTTTAAAACTAATTTCTCAATTCGTAGTTTTGGGTGGGCAGTTGTATACTTTTTGCAAAGGCCATCAAACCTTAAGATAAATGGTATTTGATTAAATTTATTGAGTTATGACCCGAGAGCTTTCTTCTGAATAACTTAAACAACTATTTACTAGTCTCGTAAATTTACTCATATTTACTCAAAGATCTAGATGGCAAAGCATCTGGAGAATCACATATCCAATTATATATAAAAGTTTGTTAAGTTTATTGTCTAAGTTATTTTAAGTGTGCAAGTTTGATTGCTTTGCAGTGCGTTTAAAATTATTTAACATTATGTTTGGCTTTATATAGGTCGCAGACGCGTACGGTGAAGCTCCGAGCATTGTGAAACTGGATTTAGGAGTGGGCATTATAAAGCTACGGTGAGTGTTGAACTTTTCATGTTTTATTTTCATAGCATAAGTTTGATTATTTGCAGTGTGTTTTAAACTCATCTCGGATTGGCTTAGTTTGGTTTTTATTTTTAAACACCGATCATATTTTGTTTCTTGCAAATAATGAGTTTATTTTCCAGTTAAGCTCGTTGTTTTGGGTGGGCAGTTGTATATTTTTTGCAAAGGCCATCAAACCTTAAGATAAATGGTATTTGGTTGAATTTATTGGGTTAAGAGCCTAGAGATTTCTTCTTAATTACTGAAACAACTATTTACTAGTCTCTGAAATTCACTCATATTTATTTGACCAAGGTTTGGTTTTTATTTTTTCAAACACGGATCATACTTCGTTTCTTGCAAATCATGAGGTTATTTTCCAGTTAAGCTTTATTATGTTTACCTTTTTAAAATTTTACATTTAAAAGCAGTGAAGAAAAATAGTAGTTTAAAACTAATTTCTCAACTCGTAGTTTTGGGTGGGCAGTTGTATATTTTTTCCAAAGGCCATCAAACCTTAAGATATATGGTATTTGATTAAATTTTTGAGTTAAGACCCGAGAGCTTTCTTCTGAATAACTTAAACAACTATTTACTAGTCTCTGAAATTCACTCATATTTTTTCGACCATCTAGATGGGCTAGCGTCTAGAGAATCTGAAATAACTTTATATATATAAAAGTTTGTAAAGTTCATTGTTTAATTTATTTTCGGAGCATCTAAAGTGTGTTGTAAATTGTTTCGGATTGTGCTTTTATTTATACTGGTTGCAGATGCATTTGACGGAGGTTGGAGCTCTATGAAGTTGCATTTAGGAGGGGGTGTTATCAAGCTTAGGTGAGAGTTGTGGTTTTTATTTTAGTGAAGAAATAAATAAGTTTGATTATTTAGCGGTGTGTTTAAAATCATCTCGGATTAGCCTTATCTGGTTAACGTTGAGAAAGTTGTAAAGCAATTTATTCACATTTTTGGTTAAGTTTACTGTATGATTTATTTTCCCCGTTAGTTTTTTTAAAAATTCAGTTCAGGGTTTGTTTGGCTTTACATAGGTCATACACAGAAGCGCAACATCAAGATTCGAGCACATTGAAGTTGGTGGTCGGCGTGGGTGATTATCACACTGAGTAAGTGTTGTGATTTTCATTCTGTAGTAATTAAAAAGAAAGACTTTATTGCAAGCATTATTTTTTTTTATATTGTGAGTTTCAGTTTGTTTGTTGAAAATATATATATGATCCATGTAATTTGTTGTTAATAACTAAAATTTATCATAGTTCTAAAAAGAATTCATGTAAGAAAAGTTGATATTCAAAATCCTAAAGTATTAAGTGAAGTTTTTTCGGAGTGTGTTAGTATTACTACGATCAGGAGGGTTATTCTATCGATAAGGTTTAATGAATGAATACTTTTTGTTAAATTACTTTTGTAATTAGGTGCAGGTTGATGTGCTTATTCTTTTGTGTTGTATTGTTTGTTGCTAGAACAACCAAAGTTTTATATATACTCCGATCTGTTACATGCCGTTTTAGTTATCAGTTAAAAACTCCTAAACAGTACTAATCACACTCCGTTTCTTACAAATCATGAGTTTTTTCTAGTTGGGCTTGAAAGTCTACCTTTCTTAAAATCTTACATTTAAAAGCAATAGTGAAAGAATAATGGTAGTTATGCTTCGTCTCTACCAACTTTTTCCAAAGCAATCAAATCTTAAGATAAATGGTAGTTAATTCAATTCTTTAAGTTAGTATAAATATCCCGAGAACCTCCTTTAAAAAAACTTTATAACTCTTTACTAGTCTCGTAAATTTACTCATATTTACTCAAAAATCTAGATGGCCAAGCATCTGGAGAATCGGATATTCGATTTTATATATAAAAGTTTGTTAAGTTTATTGTCTAAGTTATGTTCAGTGCGTAAGTTTGATTGCTTTGCAGTGCGTTTAAAATCATTTCGGATTGTGTTTGGCTTTATATAGGTCGCAGACGCGTACTGTGAAGCTCCGAGCATTGTGAAACTGGATTTAGGAGTGGGCATTATAAAGCTAAGGTGAGTGTTGGACTTTTCATGTTTTATTTTCACAGCATAAGTTTGATTATTTGCAGTGTGTTTAAACTCATCTCGGATTGGCTTAGTTTGGTTTTTATTTTTTTCGAACACTGATCATAATTCGTTTCTTGCAATTCACCAGTTAAGCTATATTATGTCTACCTTCTTGATATTTTACATTTAAAAGTTGTGAAGAAAGAATAGTAATTTAGAACTAATTTCTCTACTCGCAGTTTTGGGTGTGCAGTTGTATATTTTTTGCAAAGGCCATCATACCTTAAGATAAATCGTATTTGATTGAATTTATTGGGTTAAGAGCCGAAAGCTTTCTTCTTAACTACTGAAACAACTATTTACTAGTCTCTGAAATTCACTCATATTTATTCGACCATCTAGATGGGCTAGCGTCAAGAGAATCTAAAATTACTTTATATAAATAAGAGTTTGTAAAGTTTATTTTAAATTTATTTTCAGAGCGGAAGTTTAATTATTTGGTGGTGTTTAAAATCGTTTCGGATTGTGCTTTTATTTATACTGGCTGCAGATGCATATGGCGGAGGTTGGAGCTCTATGAAGTAAGAGTGGGTGGTTTTTATTTTAGTGAAGAAATGAATAAGTTTGATTATTTGGCGGTGTGTTTAAAATCATCTCGGATTAGCCTTATTTGGTTTTAATTTTACGAACGGGCTAACGTTGAGAAAGTTGTAAAGCAATGCGTTTAAAATCACATATTCAATTTTATATTAAAGTTTGTCACGTTTATTGTCTAAGTTATTTGAAGTGTGTAAGTTTGATTGCTTTGCAAGGCGTTTAAAATCATTTAACAAGATCTTTGGCTTGATATAGGTCGCAGACGTGTACGGTGAAGCTCCGAGCATTGTGAAACTGGATTTAGGAGTGCGCATTATAAAGCTAAGGTGAGTCTTTGACTTTTCATGTTTTATTTTCACAGCATAAGTTTGATTATTTGCAGTGTGTTTAAACTTATATCGGATTGGCTTAGTTTGGTTTTTATTTTTCAAACACCGATCATACTTCGTTTCTTGCAAATAATGAGTTTATTTTCCAGTTAAGGTTTCTTGCAAAAAATCAGTTGTATATTTTTTGCAAAGGCCATCAAACCTTAAGATAAATGGTATTTGATTAAATTTATTGAGTTATGACCATCAAACCTTAAAGCTTTCTTCTGAATAACTTAAACAACTATTTGCTAGTCTCGTAAATTTACTCATATTTACTCAAAAATCTAGATGGCAAAGCATATGGGGAATCACATATCCAATTTTATATAAAAGTTTGTTAAGTTTATTGTCTAAGTTATTTTAAGTGCGTAAGTTTGATTGCTTTGCAGTGCGTTTAAAATTATTTAACATTATGTTCGGCTTTATATAGGAGTGGGCATTATAAAGCTACGGTGAGTATTGAACTTTTCATGTTTTATTTTCATAGCATAAGTTTGATTATTTGCAGTGTGTTTCGGATTGTGTTTGGCTTTATATAGGTCGCAGACGCGTACTGTGAAGCTCCGAGCATTTTGAAACTGGATTTAGGAGTGGGCATTATAAAGCTAAGATGAGTGTTGGACTTTTCATGTTTTATTTTCACAACATAAGTTTGATTATTTGCAGTGTGTTTAAACTCATTTCGGATTGACTTAGTTTGGTTTTTATTTTTCATACACTGATCATACTTCGTATCTTTCAAATAATGAGTTCATTTTCCAGTTAAGTTCTATTATGTCTACCTTTTTGAAATTTTACATTTATATATATAAGAGTTTGTAATTTGTTTATAACTAAAATTTATCATAGTTCTAAAAAGAATTCATGTATGAAAAGTTGATATTCAGAATCCTAAAGTATTAAGTGAAGTTTTTTCGGAGTGAGGTAGTATTACTACGATCAGAAGGGTTATTCTATCGCTTGGGTTAAATGAATGAATACTTTTTGTTAAATTACTTTTGTAATTAGTTGCAGGTTGATGTCCTAATTCTTTTGTGTAGTATTGTTTGTTGCTAGAATAACCAAAGTGTTATATATACTCCGATCTGTTACATGCTGTTTTAGTTATTAGTTAAAAACTCCTAAATAGCACTAATCATACTTCGTTTCTTACAAATCATGATTTTTTTCTAGTTGGGCTTGATGTCTACTTTTTTTTAAATTTTAGATATAAACGCAATAGTGAAACAATAATGGTAGTTATGCTTGGTCTCTACCAACTCTTTCCAAAGCCCATCAAATCTTAAGATAAATGGTAGTTATATGAATTCTTTAAGTTAGTATAATGATTTTGAGAACCTCCTTCCAAACAACTACAACTCTTTAATGGTCTTAGAAATTTACTCATATTTATTAAAAAATCTAGATGACCAAGCATCTGGAGAATCAGATATCCAAGTTCTATGAACTTTATCGGGGTAAAGATTTGGTGAAGAGATCAGCCGTATTTTCACTAGATCTGATTTGTTGAATGTTGATCGTCCCTTTTTTCTCCAGATCATGAGTAGAAAAGAACTTTGGTGATATGTATTTTGTTGTGTCTCCTTTGATGTAGCCTTCTTTAATCTGAGCTATGCACTCAGTGTTGTCTTCGTTGATTACAGTAGGGTGACAAGTAATAGGTTTCATACCGCATTCATTTTGGATGTGTTGAATCATAGACCGCAGCCACACACATTCTCTTCCGGTTTCATATAATGCAATTAACTCTGAATGATTTGATGATATAGCTGTCAATGTCTGCTTCATAGATCTCCATGAGATTGCGGTGTTACCATAAGTAAATACGTACCCGGTTTGTGATTTCGCCTTTTGAGGATCTGATAAGTATCCAGCGTCTACATATCCGATTCAAGCTGCTTTTGCATCTCATTCATGCCCAACAAAATGAGATGTCAGTTGATTGTTAGGACTTGGGACTGAAGACTATTTTAAAATAATGATAGATGTGATACGGAGCAGTAGATAACTTTTCTCCTCACAAGCCTTTAATTTTAATTTGTCTTAAAATTAGTTAATTAATAATACTAATAATGGCAATAAGGAATGTAATAAGTTGAACCGTTGTACGTAGTAATAATTTGAACAAATCAATGAATTTTATTTGTGCCAATTATATTACACATAATGATAAAACAGGTTATTTAATAATATTTACATATTAGTGTTATTACTTAATAATTCTAAAATGTAAATACCAATATTTCTAAAGTTATTGCCCTAAATAGGAGTAAAATAATATGAAAGTCCCAAAATAAGAGTTCTTGTTAGTTTACTCCACATTTCTAATTAAGTTTAAAATAATAATTTTGTAGTATGACAAATATTAGCAAAAGAGAATTCGACGTTCTTGATTTGTCCGGTCAAAAATATTTGGAATGGAAAGTTGATGCTTTAGCACATTTGAAGGCTAATAGTCTCGGAGACACTATTGAGGCTATTAATCAATCATCTTCCCAGGATAAAGCGAAAACTATAATTTTTCTCCGTCACCATCTTCATGAAAGTCTCAAATCTGAATATCTTTGGTTGATGACCCAAAAGAATTATGAGACAATTTAGAGGAGAGGTTTGACAATCAACAAAAGGTACTTTTGCCTAAAGCTCAGTACGACTGGATCAATTTCAGATTCCAAGATTTTAAATCAATCAGTGACTATAATTATGCTATGTTCCAAATAACATCCAAATTAAAGTTATGTGGACAAAAGTTACTGATGTTGATATATTGGAGAAAATCTTTTCTATCATGCATATTACTAATATGCTGCTACAGCAGAAATCTAGAGAAAACGGTTTTAAAAAATACTCTGACTTAATATCAGTTTTACTTGTAGCTGAGCAAAATAATGACCTTTTAATGAAGAACCACAACTTGAGACCCACCGGTTCTAGTCCTTCGATTTATGGTCCATTTGGCCCTAATTTAGCCATTGAATCAAATGCAACACACAGTGGCCCTCGAAGGCATTTTAAACGTGGGCATTTTAGTGGTCATAATAACAAGCCTCACCGAGGATATAAACAGGTCGAAACCAAATTACAAGGGCAAGGGCAAACAAAAAGTTCATCAAATAAACCGCCCTCCAAAATCCTCGGGAAAGACGACTTGTTATAAGTGTGGTATGACGGGGCATTGGGCTAATAAATGTTGTACGGTTAAACACCTGGTGGAGTTATTTCAAGCTTCCATGAATCTAAATAAAGGCAAAAATGTGGAAGCCAATTATGTCAATGATAGAGCTCCACCTATGCCAAAATTTGACGTAGCCGATTTTTTTGCTGATGATGCCATTATGGATGATGCTTTTGCCATAAACCAAAATGTTACAAAATAAAATAGTAGAATCCTTCTGTTGTAAAATACTAGTTAAATTTTATGTACTTTTTCTTCTTTTATTTTGTTTTTAAATAAATGTGTGTAATGTATGCACTCTTATGATCAATAATATGCATAATTTGTGATCAAGCTTATGTTTATTTATATATATTGAAGATATGGATCATTCAAATGATAAAGAGCTATTTCTGATAGACAGCGCCACAACGCACACCATTTTGAGAAATAAAATATATTTTTCTCAAATGACTTTAGTTGAAGCTAAAGTCAATACAATATCAGGTGCTGCGAAACTCATTGAAGGCTCTAGGAAAGCATATGTGATGCTCCCTAATGGGACAAAAATAATTATAAATGGCGCTTTATACTCCAGCAAATCGCGGAGAAATTTATTGAGCTTTAAAGATATGCGTCAAAATGGTTATCACATAGAAACCATGAATGAAAACCAAAAGGAATATATTTGTCTTACGACAACTAAATCTGGCACTAAATATATTTGTGAAAAATGCCAGCATATTCCTCAGGACTATATTTCACATATATTAGTCCATTTGAAATAAATTTGGTTTCTAACACAAAGTTAGATGATCAGAAAACATTCATGTTGTGGCATGACCGTTTAGGTCACACAGGCCAGGTAATGATGCATAAAATCATTAAAGAAGGTTGAGAATTCATGTTGTGCTGTTTATGTTCCAATTGCTCCACCTCATCGTACAAAAATGGGTCATCAAAGAAGGTTGAGAATTTATGTTGGTTTTGAATCTCCCTCAATAATAAAATATCTCGAACCGATGAGTGGTGACTTATTCACAGCACGGTTTGCAGACTGTCATTTCAATGAGACAGTGTTCCCAACCTTAGGGGGAGAAAAAAATAAATTAGACCCAGGTACGAAAGAGATAACATGGAATGCAACATGGTTATCACATCTTGACTCAAGAACAAATGTATGTGAGCAAGAAGTTCAAATATATGAAAGTTTGTGGAGGATTTAAAATGCCTGAAGCTTATAGCTCGAAACCTCGAGAAATGTTTTCCATAAAATTACATAAGTCATTGTATGGAATAAAACAATCTCGACGAATGTGGTATGCCTACATCTTCCTTCCATATTCTTCTTTTCTTCAGCCCTCACAATGTGTCGTATGCCTACATCTTCCTTCCATATGAAAAACTGCAACTCCCAACCTGTACACATTAACATGTTAATGGAAATTTTCCAAATCATTAAAATATATAACGTATACAATAAATGAACGACGCAACTCACTTTAATTCAAAATCACACAACCAAAATCATAGACTTACCTTCCATTTTTTGACACCCAAAAAAACTTCTCCCACTCTCTCGGCCAACGCATAGAGAAGCTTTCAATCCACACCAACAATGAATAACAGGCTCGTAGTCAAAGGTACGACTTCGTTCTTTTAGAAGCGTAGATGATGATGAAGACGACATACTTGCGAAGGCCTCAGTCTGAAGGGAGAAGGAGAAGGTGCCAGCTTTGAAGTGGGGAATTTGGGAATTTGGGGTTTTGGGGATTTTTACAAATGTTTAGGCTTTGAAGTGGGGAAAAGCCAAGTCAGATTAACTGCCCGGTAAGGGAGGGATACGTTGGAGTCCATGTCAGCCATTAACTGGCTAACCTGGCGTCAACCGGCTAAAAAGGCAGATTGGGTGTTTCTGTTGAGTACGCGGACTTGATTGGGTGATTCGGAACTACGAGGGCTTAATTGAGGAATTGACCAAAGTACGAGGGCCTATTTGAGAGTTTTCTCGAATTTAAATGTAATTGTGATCATATATAGTATGTGTTGCTGCACTTGCAAGTTGTAAGATAAAAAACTTAGCTTGAGGTTAGTTTCTTTCTCTTCTCTCTAATGCATTTATATTATTTTGGATGGATAAAAGAGATTTTGAATGCAAAGAGAACGAAATATATCTGGTTTTGGTCTTTTGTAAACATAAAATAAATTTAGTTTGTTGTCACACACCACGTGCGTTCAACCTAGAGACAACAAACCACAATTTGTGTTGTATTGTTTGTTGCTAGAACAACCAAAGTGTTATATATACTCCGATCTGTTACATGCTGTTTTAGTTATCAGTTAAAAACTCCTAAACAGTACTACTCATACTAAGATAATCACCGAGTGCTCGCGTGACTTTTTCAATTTGCTGAGAAAGTTCACGGGTAGGTGCCAAAACCAAAGTTTGGCATTCAATTGTACTGTAATCAAGCATTGCAAAAGGGAGCAATACCTCTTTGATGAATTGCGGAAGGCTTCTCAAGCCTTAACCCAATCCCATAGCAGCATTTAGCTAATCACACACATAAAACTTTAAGGCGAGTAATGATACCATTAAAAGAAAATATAATCTAATACATGTAACAGTAAAAACCGCTAATAACTGTAAAAGTGAAAACCTCTCAAACAATAAACAATAATACATGTGGGATGGAGACTACAATATGAACACTATTATATTAACTTTTACTTTTACAATTGTCTCTTGTTCTCATCAAAGATTTCTGTATATTTTTTCTTCTTTCTTCTAATTTTCACAAACATGCATAGCTTTGGTTTCTGAATCAGATTAGGTTTTAATGGTCAATATTTGTTCAAGTACAACAAATTAAAAATTAACTATGTTTGCATCAATCTATTTCATGCTTTTTAGCTTAATTGAGGATGTTCGCGATCAGTTTAACTAAATTGTTTCAAAAATTCTTGCACAGCTCCATAAGAAGTAAATGTTATAAACTTTCATTAAGAAAATTGTATGATGCATCAAATCAAAAACTGAGCTCATTGTTCAACTTGAGGGCGTTGCATAAACAAGCTTTGAACTCAGCTATTCATACGACATGCATGTTCATATAAATAAAAAAATCATCACTCATACTTCATATTTTATATTTTATTAACATTTGAGTTCCTTGATAGGAAATATTCTTGGAGGAAATATTGTCAACTTTTGAAATAGCAGGCATCTAATATTCTCATAAGCAATTCACAGTTTTCAAACATGTTTCTGTTTAAGTCATAATTAGATTTTTACTTTAAAATAATTTTCAAAAAACATAAGCAGTTTGGGGGTTTCTTTTTGTTTCACATAACTTCAGAAGAAAGAGGTTAATCTTACGTGGCGGGAGTTTTGTTGATGAAAAATATGATTGGATTTAACATCAAATCCTTCAACCTAGCTCTGGTTGGGAGCTTCATTTCGACACAGAACAATTCTGAAACTATTCATAAAGAAAGGGTTTCTACAAGCAATTCGGGAAGGTGATTTCTCAAACTAATTTCTAATCTGTCATGTTTGGTGTTAGAAGTGAAAAAGAAAATGAAGGACTCGAAGGAGACGGGCACTTCTACAGAGAAAAGCCAAAAACTGGACAAGTGAAAGGCGGCGCATATAGAATTTTTCTATTGTGTGAGGTTAACTTTGCAACCTTTTAATTTTTTTAATTGAAGTTGCTTACGTGGGAATGTGTCCAATCATATATAGCCATATGTTGAATGCATCAAAACACTCTATAATATCAATTGGTATACCGTGGGAGCAGCCCACAGTGTGCATGATGCTCCCAAGCCCAAAACACGGGTGAACAGTACATTGTGAAAAGTAACTTTCTTTTTGTCCAGGAAGAAAGAATATTTAGTATAAAACTAATTTCTTAACTCGTTGTTTTGGGTGGGCAGTTGTATATTTTTTGAAAAGGGCATCAAACCTTAAGATAAATGGTATTTGGTTGAATTTATTGGGTTATAAGAGACTAGAGATTTCTTCTTAATTACTGAAACAACTATTTACTAGTCTCTGAAATTCACTCATATTTATTTGAGCAAGTATTGGTTTTTATTTTTTCAAACACGGATCATACTTCGTTTCTTGCAAATCATGAGGTTATTTTCCAGTTAAGCTTTATTATGTTTACCTTTTTAACATTTTACATTTAAAAGCAGTGAAGAAAAATAGTAGTTTAAAACTAATTTCTCAACTCGTAGTTTTGGGTGGGCAGTTGTATATTTTTTGCAAAGGCCATCAAACCTTAAGATAAATGGTATTTGATTAAATTTATTGAGTTATGACCCTAGAGCTTTCTTCTGAATAACTTAAACAACTATTTACTAGTCTCGTAAATTTACTCATATTTACTCAAAAATCTAGATGGCAAAGCATCTGGAGAATCACATATCCAATTTTATATAAAAGTTTGTTAAGTTTATTGTCTAAGTTATTTTAAGTGCGTAAGTTTGATTGCTTTGCAGTGCGTTTAAAATTATTTAACATTATGTTTGGCTTTATATAGGTCGCAGACGCGTACGGTGAAGCTCCGAGCATTGTTAAACTGGATTTAGGAGTGGGCATTATAAAGCTAAGGTGAGTGTTGGACTTTTCATGTTTTATTTTCACAGCATAAGTTTGATTATTTGCAGTGTGTTTTAAACTCATCTCGGATTGGCTTAGTTTGGTTTTTATTTTTAAACACCGATCATATTTTGTTTCTTGCAAATAATGAGTTTATTTTCCAGTTAAGCTCTATTATGTCTACGTTTTCGAAATTTTACATTTAAAAGCAATGAAGAAAGAATATTAGTATAAAACTAATTTCCTAACTCGTTGTTTTGGGTGGGCAGTTGTATATTTTTTGCAAAGGGCATCAAACCTTAAGATAAATGGTATTTGGTTGAATTTATTGGGTTAAGAGCCTAGAGATTTCTTCTTAATTACTGAAACAACTATTTACTAGTCTCTGAAATTCACTCATATTTATTTGACCAAGGTTTGGTTTTTATTTTTTCAAACACTGATCATACTTCGTTTCGTGCAAATCATGAGGTTATTTTCCAGTTAAGCTTTATTGTGTTTACCATTTTAAAATTTTACATTTAAAAGCAGTGAAGAAAAATAGTAGTTTAAAACTAATTTCTCAACTCTTAGTTTTGGGTGGGCAGTTGTATATTTTTTGCAAAGGCCATCAAACCTTAAGATAAATGGTATTTGATTAAATTTATTGAGTTATGACCCGAGAGCTTTCTTCTGAATAACTTAAACAACTATTTACTAGTCTCGTAAATTTACTCATATTTACTCAAAAATCTAGATGGCAAAGCATCTGGAGAATCACATATCCAATTTTATATAAAAGTTTGTTAAGTTTATTGTCTAAGTTATTTTAAGTGCGTAAGTTTGATTGCTTTGCAGTGCGTTTAAAATCATTTAACATTATGTTTGGCTTTATATAGGTCGCAGACGCGTACGGTGAAGCTCCGAGCATTGTGAAACTGGATTTAATAGTGGGCATTATAAAGCTACGGTGAGTGTTGAACTTTTCATGTTTTATTTTCACAGCATAAGTTTGATTATTTGCAGTGTGTTTTAAACTCATCTCGGATTGGCTTAGTTTGGTTTTTATTTTTAAACACCGATCATATTTGTTTTCTTGCAAATAATGAGTTTATTTTCCAGTTAAGCTCTATTATGTCTATGTTTTTGAAATTTTACATTTAAAAGCAATGAAGAAAGAATATTAATATAAAACTAATTTCTTAACTCGTTGTTTTGGGTGGGCAGTTGTATATTTTTTGCAAAGGCCATCAAACCTTAAGATAAATGGTATTTGGTTGAATTAATTGGGTTAAGAGCCTAGAGATTTCTTCTTAATTACTGAAACAACTATTTACTAGTCTCTGAAATTCACTCATATTTATTTGACCAAGGTTTGGTTTTTATTTTTTCAAACACGGATCATACTTCGTTTCTTGGGTTTGGTTACAAATCATGAGTTTATTCTAGTTGGGCTTGAAGTCTTCCTTTTTTTAAATTTTACATTTAAAAGCAATAGTGAAAGAATAATGGCAGTTAATTGAATTCTTTAAGTTAGTATAAAGATCCCGAGAACCTCCTTCCAAAAAACCTTACAACTCTTTACTAGTCTCGTAAATTTACTCATATTTACTCAAAAATCTAGATGGCAAAGCATCTGGAGATTCACATATCCAATTTTTTATAAAAGTTTGTTAAGTTTATTGTCTAAGTTATTTTAAGAGCGTAAGTTTGATTGCTTTGCAGTGTGTTTAAAATCATTTAACATTATGTTTGGCTTTATATAGGTCGCAGACGCGTACGGTGAAGCTCCGAGCATTGTTAAACTGGATTTAGGAGTGGGCATTATAAAGCTAAGGTGAGTGTTGGACTTTTCATGTTTTATTTTCACAGCATAAGTTTGATTATTTGCAGTGTGTTTTAAACTCATCTCGGATTGGCTTAGTTTGGTTTTTATTTTTAAACACCGATCATATTTTGTTTCTTGCAAATAATGAGTTTATTTTCCAGTTAAGCTCTATTATGTCTACGTTTTCAAAATTTTACATTTAAAAGCAATGAAGAAAGAATATTAGTATAAAACTAATTTCCTAACTCGTTGTTTTGGGTGGGCAGTTGTATATTTTTTGCAAAGGGCATCAAACCTTAAGATAAATGGTATTTGGTTGAATTTATTGGGTTATAAGAGCCTAGAGATTTCTTCTTAATTACTGAAACAACTATTTACTAGTCTCTGAAATTCACTCATATTTATTTGACCAAGGTTTGGTTTTTATTTTTTCAAACACGGATCATACTTCGTTTCTTGCAAATCATGAGGTTATTTTCCAGTTAAGCTTTATTATGTTTACCATTTTAAAATTTTACATTTAAAAGCAGTGAAGAAAAATAGTAGTTTAAAACTAATTTCTCAACTCTTAGTTTTGGGTGGGCAGTTGTATATTTTTTGCAAAGGCCATCAAACCTTAAGATAAATGGTATTTGATTAAATTTATTGAGTTATGACCCGAGAGCTTTCTTCTGAATAACTTAAACAACTATTTACTAGTCTCGTAAATTTACTCATATTTACTCAAAAATCTAGATGGCAAAGCATCTGGAGAATCACATATCCAATTTTATATAAAAGTTTGTTAAGTTTATTGTCTAAGTTATTTTAAGTGCGTAAGTTTGATTGCTTTGCAGTGCGTTTAAAATTATTTAACATTATGTTTGGCTTTATATAGGTCGCAGACGCGTACGGTGAAGCTCCGAGCATTGTGAAACTGGATTTAGGAGTGGGCATTATAAAGCTACGGTGAGTGTTGAACTTTTCATGTTTTATTTTCACAGCATAAGTTTGATTATTTGCAGTGTGTTTTAAACTCATCTCGGATTGGCTTAGTTTGGTTTTTATTTTTAAACACCGATCATATTTTGTTTCTTGCAAATAATGAGTTTATTTTCCAGTTAAGCTCTATTATGTCTATGTTTTTGAAATTTTACATTTAAAAGCAATGAAGAAAGAATATTAGTATAAAACTAATTTCTTAACTCGTTGTTTTGGGTGGGCAGTTGTATATTTTTTGCAAAGGCCATCAAACCTTAAGATAAATGGTATTTGGTTGAATTAATTGGGTTAAGAGCCTAGAGATTTCTTCTTAATTACTGAAACAACTATTTACTAGTCTCTGAAATTCACTCATATTTATTTGACCAAGGTTTGGTTTTTATTTTTTCAAACACGGATCATACTTCGTTTCTTGGGTTTGGTTACAAATCATGAGTTTATTCTAGTTGGGCTTGAAGTCTTCCTTTTTTTAAATTTTACATTTAAAAGCAATAGTGAAAGAATAATGGTAGTTATGCTTGGTCTCTACCAACTTTTTCCAAAGCCCATCAAATCTTAAGATAAATGGTAGTTAATTGAATTCTTTAAGTTAGTATAAAGATCCCGAGAACCTCCTTCCAAAAAACCTTACAACTCTTTACTAGTCTCGTAAATTTACTCATATTTACTCAAAAATCTAGATGCAAAGCATCTGGAGATTCACATATCCAATTATATATAAAAGTTTGTTAAGTTTATTGTCTAAGTTATTTTAAGTGCGTAAGTTTGATTGCTTTGCAGTGCGTTTAAAATCATTTAACATTATGTTTGGCTTTATATAGGTCGCAGACGCGTACGGTGAAGCTCCGAGCATTGTTAAACTGGATTTAGGAGTGGGCATTATAAAGCTAAGGTGAGTGTTGGACTTTTCATGTTTTATTTTCACAGCATAAGTTTGATTATTTGCAGTGTGTTTTAAACTCATCTCGGATTGGCTTAGTTTGGTTTTTATTTTTAAACACCGATCATATTTTGTTTCTTGCAAATAATGAGTTTATTTCCCAGTTAAGCTCTATTATGTCTAAGTTTTCGAAATTTTACATTTAAAAGCAATGAAGAAAGAATATTAGTATAAAACTAATTTCCTAACTCGTTGTTTTGGGTGGGCAGTTGTATATTTTTTGCAAAGGGCATCAAACCTTAAGATAAATGGTATTTGGTTGAATTTATTGGGTTAAGAGCCTAGAGATTTCTTCTTAATTACTGAAACAACTATTTACTAGTCTCTGAAATTCACTCATATTTATTTGACCAAGGTTTGGTTTTTATTTTTTCAAACATGGATCATACTTCGTTTCTTGCAAATCATGAGGTTATTTTCCAGTTAAGCTTTATTATGTTTACCATTTTAAAATTTTACATTTAAAAGCAGTGAAGAAAAATAGTAGTTTAAAACTAATTTCTCAACTCGTAGTTTTGGGTGGGCAGTTGTATATTTTTTGCAAAGGCCATCAAACCTTAAGATAAATGGTATTTGATTAAATTTATTGAGTTATGACCCGAGAGCTTTCTTCTGAATAACTTAAACAACTATTTACTAGTCTCGTAAATTTACTCATATTTACTCAAAAATCTAGATGGCAAAGCATCTGGAGAATCACATATCCAATTTTATATAAAAGTTTGTTAAGTTTATTGTCTAAGTTATTTTAAGTGCGTAAGTTTGATTGCTTTGCAGTGCGTTTAAAATCATTTAACATTATGTTTGGCTTTATATAGGTCGCAGACGCGTACGGTGAAGCTCCGAGCATCGTTAAACTGGATTTAGGAGTGGGCATTATAAAGCTAAGGTGAGTGTTGGACTTTTCATGTTTTATTTTCACAGCATAAGTTTGATTATTTGCAGTGTGTTTTAAACTCATCTCGGATTGGCTTAGTTTGGTTTTTATTTTTAAACACCGATCATATTTTGTTTCTTGCAAATAATGAGTTTATTTTCCAGTTAAGCTCTATTATGTCTACGTTTTCGAAATTTTACATTTAAAAGCAATGAAGAAAGAATATTAGTATAAAACTAATTTCCTAACTCGTTGTTTTGGGTGGGCAGTTGTATATTTTTTGCAAAGGGCATCAAACCTTAAGATAAATGGTATTTGGTTGAATTTATTGGGTTAAGAGCCTAGAGATTTCTTCTTAATTACTGAAACAACTATTTACTAGTCTCTGAAATTCACTCATATTTATTTGACCAAGGTTTGGTTTTTATTTTTTCAAACACGGATCATACTTCGTTTCTTGGGTTTGGTTACAAATCATGAGTTTATTCTAGTTGGGCTTGAAGTCTTCCTTTTTTTAAATTTTACATTTAAAAGCAATAGTGAAAGAATAATGGCAGTTAATTGAATTCTTTAAGTTAGTATAAAGATCCCGAGAACCTCCTTCCAAAAAACCTTACAACTCTTTACTAGTCTCGTAAATTTACTCATATTTACTCAAAAATCTAGATGGCAAAGCATCTGGAGATTCACATATCCAATTTTATATAAAAGTTTGTTAAGTTTATTGTCTAAGTTATTTTAAGAGCGTAAGTTTGATTGCTTTGCAGTGCGTTTAAACTCATTTAACATTATGTTTGGCTTTATATAGGTCGCAGACGCGTACGGTGAAGCTCCGAGCATTGTTAAACTGGATTTAGGAGTGGGCATTATAAAGCTAAGGTGAGTGTTGGACTTTTCATGTTTTATTTTCACAGCATAAGTTTGATTATTTGCAGTGTGTTTTAAACTCATCTCGGATTGGCTTAGTTTGGTTTTTATTTTTAAACACCGATCATATTTTGTTTCTTGCAAATAATGAGTTTATTTTCCAGTTAAGCTCTATTATGTCTACGTTTTCAAAATTTTACATTTAAAAGCAATGAAGAAAGAATATTAGTATAAAACTAATTTCCTAACTCGTTGTTTTGGGTGGGCAGTTGTATATTGTATGCAAAATGTAATTTTTTGAGGAAAATCCAAATGTAACTCGCGATAGGAAGATGTAAATCACACATAAGAAGATATAACTCACGCATAAGAAGTATATTATACAACTTAATATACAACTTTGGTGTAACTTCATATACAACCAAATATAACTGGATGATTGGAAATAAACAACTCAATGTCTTAAAACTCTCTAAAAGATATAAATGAGATTAAATATACAAGTATATTATAAGTGTGAATAAAAAAGTTACAAAGATAAAAATAGTGTATGAATATGAAATGCAATACACTTTTCATTTAAATTAATAAATTTTTTATTATGAATTTATACAAAAATAGATTGAGTGATAATTTAAGTTGAAGATAAAAGTAAATTAAAGTAATACAATTTAATTTTTAGTATTTTGATGGAGGAGGAGAAAAGAATTGAAGAAAAGGAAAATAAAGCAGAAGAAAAAGCAAACGAAAAGGATGTAACTCGCGCATAAGAAGATGCAACTCGCTTATAAAAAGATATAACTCCTACACATGAAAAATGTAAATTTTTCATAAGAAGATGTAATTTCCTGTTTGATAAATGTAAATTGAAATAAACAAATTTAATGTCTTAGAAAACACTAAAACTTTTAAAAGAAGTAAAGGAATATATTATAGTAATTAAAATGTAATTGTGATCTTGTGGAAACATAAAGTAAATTTAGTTTGTTGTCACACACCACGTGTGTTCAACCTAGAGTCAATGAACCACAATTTCAATTCTTTGTAATTACTGGTGGGCGACAATTGAGTGATGAAGTAGTGTGTGCGTGGGAACGAGCGAAGGGTGATGAAGTAAAAACGACGATTGCAGACTTGCAGTGACAGAGAAGAATCAATAGGAGGGTGCGACCTTATTTTTATTTATTGAAACGACGTCGTATTGGGACCGGTATACCATGCAGAAGTTATACTGATCCCACGGTATAATTTGTGCTATAACAGTTTTGACTTAACCAACATCAATTGTACTAGCGAAATCTTTAGGACAAGTCCTTCGATCATTTTTTTCAAATCATCTGCACTTTCGCTCTTCGCTTCAGCCCTGCCATATTCTTCTTTTCTTCAGCCCTCACAATGTGTCGTATGCCTACATCTTCCTTCCATAAGAAAAACCGCAACTCCCAACCTGTACACATTAACATGTTAATGGAAATTTTCCAAATCATTAAAATATATAACGTATACAATAAATGAACGACGCAACACACTTTAATAAATGAATCCAAGGTTGATTCATCAATGTATCAGCGCTTGTGTGGCAAACTTATCTCTCTCTCTCATACTAGACCTGACATTGCCTATGCAGTTAGTGTTTTGAGTCAGTTCATGCATGATCCAAGGAAACCACATCTAGAAGCAGCCTATAGGGTTCTTCACTACCTAAAAGGAAGTCCAGGGCAAGGGATAATATTCAGGAAGGGTGGGCAATTATCAGTCCAAGCCTTCACTGATGCAGATTATGGTGGCTCCCTCGTTGACCGCCGGTCAACTACTGGTCCCTGTGTTTTCCTAGCAGGAAACCTCGTGACATGGAGAAGCAAAAAACAGAAGGTTGTGGCACGATCATCTGCTGAATCTGAGCTAAGAGCTCTTGACCATGGCTTATGTGAACTTCTATGGATCAGAATTATTCTCTTAGATTTACAAATCAAGTGGAAAGGACCAATGGAATTGAGGTGTGATAACAAATCATCAATCAACATAGCTCATAATCCAGTCCAACATGATCGGACCAAGCATATTGAGATTGATAGGCACTTTATCAAAGAAAAGGTTGAAGGAGGTCTCATCGAACTAAGCTACACTCCCTCAGAAGATCAAGTTGCAGATGTGTTTACCAAACCTCTGCACAGTCCTAGGTTCCAGGGTCTTATTGTCAAGCTAGGCATGACGAATATCTACAAACCTAGCTTGAGGGGGAGTGTTGATAAAACGAAGAGACATCATTAATCTAGGATTTATTTTCCTTATTATTACTGTAATTATGTATCTTTAGTGCTTCAGGTTGTATTTAATAGCTGCTGTCTTTTCAGTTCTCAATCATTTATGTTTAGTATTTAGACAGGCACCTAGGGTGCTGAATAGACTCTCTCAGGATTCCTATCTGTATAAATAACTTATGTACTTCTTGTAAATGAATTCAAGGAAATAATATTCAGAAAACTTCAAGAAGCGTAGATGATGATGAAGACGACATACTTGCGAAGGCCTCAACACTTTGACTTTTATAATACCTCCGTTCTTAAATAAATGCAACACTTTGACTTTTATACTATTCACATGTTCTACTTTGACTTCGTTTTATTTATTAATGTAATAATATTATTTTATGAAAAAAATATTGTTAAACTTGTCTCATTGTAATTTTCATAATCTAATTTTTAAAATTTTTTTACTAATAAAAATCATTTATATTAATGGTCAAAGTTGTGTCTCGCCAAGTGTGAAATGTTGACCGTTGCATTTATTATTTAAGAACGGAGAAAATATTAACTATCCCCAAATATAATTTGCCCCGTAATTTGTTATATTTGCCCCTTAATTTGTTATACTGATCTCCAAATATATTACGCATCTTCCGATATCTTCCACGGATCTTTTAATATATTACCACTCCAACGGCTCTTTTGACATCCTCGAGAGGCCATTAGGTCCTTCCGCATCCGTCAGCCGTCACCCTCTGCATGTGCAAAGCTCAATCGACCATCCGCCTGCGAAGCAATCGCAGAAATGAAATGGCCGACACCTATGGGTCTGCCAAGAAGAATGCTTCGAGACCATCAGGTCAGCAGTCTCACCTTCCGCGGGTGTGAAACCCTAGCCCTTCAAAAACAATTGTTCCTAAAGTAAGTTTATCAATCGTGGAAAAGTAAAGATAAGTCATTAGTATATTATTCATGTTTGCATATCTTTATCAGTTCACTACTTTTCAGTTTTCAGGCAGTAGATAAGGTTTTGGAATGACCTATTTGTCGAGTGATGGCACTGAAGTAGTACGTAAAGCAAGGGTTTGAAATTATTCAACCAAATTGTTTTGTAAGTTTTCACCCACCACAAATAATTTATAGTTTTTTGTTGTTTCTATTTATTTGATCTTTCATTTCACCACCAATAGCCACAGATTCAGTTTTTTGTTGCTCAATTACATATGCTTTGTGTGATATGCAGTTCTATTTTTTTTTACTTCCCTTTGAACATTTTTATCTGCATTTTTTTTGCATGATTACATATACTTCTCTAGATTACACTGCGAATTAGATCATCAATAGTTCAGGTCCTATTTCATGACACATACCTTACTGTCTTCCAGGAGCAGATATTAAAACATAGACACTCTAGAAACATGGAACCTGAATCAGTGATTTTGTTTATGATCTTACATGAAGTATGACACATTGATATATTGTAGGATGCTCCAGGATGCTCAGTTTGTTGTAATTTCAGGCATACTTGTTGTGTGCTTCTTTTTACCTTTTGTTTCTTGATTCTGCAGGACCTTAAAAGCTCTTGTGGAAGTTCACAATCATGGAAGCCAAGGCACATTCATTGCAAGAATTCCAGTTTGACGTTTTTTTTGGCAAGACTCACTAGAATGTTTGCAAAACTGACAATGATCTGGACCATTTCTCTGCTTTAAAGGTGAAAGTGAACCCTGTTAATGTTTTTTCCGTTGTTATGTATTATTTGTTTTCTATTCCTTCTCAACATGGGAAAATTTTATATGGGCATTGCAGTTGTAAGATTTGGACTTTTAGTAACCCGAGATTTGCCCATCGTGAGAAGGCAATCAAGAGCACACTCTTGGATGAAGAAATGCAGGATGCTTGAGAGATGTTACATGACAAATGCAGGTGTATATATATGTTATGCCTTTGTTCTCTTTAGGCGCCTCTTGTTATAATATTTCTGTTCAAAAATAGAGTGGTGAGTATTAACAAGTGTTATACCATGTTATAATTCCTGCGTGGTATCAATAAGAAATTATCTTCCGTTTGTTTACTACTACTAGTCCTACATGAACACTTTTCTTTTGTGCCTATTGATTTTGTTTTTCTGAACAGGATAAACTAATTCAAAAGAAGCCCAATCGAAAAGGTCTAAATGTGAATAGTCTACTGGCTGGATGATTCGGATTTGCCTAATCTGAGTATAGTTTCGTGAGATAACCGAAGTCTCCAACACCAAATGTTTTGCCAAGTCTTACCTAGCAGCATCATTCTTGGTAAGCACATATTGGTGCCAGTGATAGCTTGAACCTGCTGATGGTACCCCTTGATGGAACACATTCTTGATAGAAATCTGAGGTTCAAGTTCCTAGAGTAAGTTCCCAAGCCTGGAAAACTATAAAGTGGTTAATAATATCTTTTTCTTTTTTGCTTATCTTTGACCGTTCATTACTTTTCAGGCAGTAGAGAAGATTTCGGCAGGACGTATATGGGAAGTGCACTAGAAGAAGTACGTTCCAAGCATAGTTTAGAAATTATGCAACTAAATTGTTCGGTAAGTTATCTTCTTCAAGCAAGAAGTTATATATTTTTCCTTTCTAATGATTTGATCTTCATGTCACAATCACTAACAGCCTATTCAGCAGTACAAACATGAGCATGAATGCAATTAGATAATTAGTCAAATACTCAATTTCGATAGAGAGCTTGACTGATGGGACCCTAAATGATTTTACGTGATTATAGGCTCATACGTTAGACCATTTCATAAGTGCATATGTAATTCTGAAGTGGTATCAATAAAAAACTTATCATACTTGTGTTTACTATTCTAACATTAGCACTTATCTTTCCTGCCTTTTGATTTTCCTTCTGAACAGGATGAACAAATGAAGGCCAATACGAGAGATCAAAATAAGAAGTGTTGTACTGGATGGAATGCCAAAGAAGCCTGAATCTTTTAAATGAAAAGGAAAAGGAAATGTTAAGTCTTGAGTTCGAAATTGCAATCAGGACAGGGAAGGCGTGTACCGAAGAAATTGTTTTTGACGAAAAAATGGATACAAAAACCTAAAAAAAAAACGAAACGAATAAAAAAAAGAAAATTAAAAAGCCAAAAAAAAACAACAATCATGGCACTGAAGTAGTATGTTAAGCACGTCTTTGAAATTATTCAACTAAATTGTTTTGTAAGTTTTCTCCCACCAGAAATAATTTATAGTTTTTTGTTGTTTCTATTTATTTTATCTTTCATTTCACCACCAATAGCCACAGATTCAGTTTTTTGTTGCTCAATTACATATGCTTTGTGTGGAATGCAGTTCTATTTTTTTTTTACTTTCCTTTGAACATTTTTATCTGCATTTTTTGTTGCATGATTACAAATGCTTGTCTAGATTACACTGCGAATTAGATCATCAATAGTTCAGGCCCTGTTTAATGACACATACCTTGCTGTCTTCCCGGAGCAGATATTAAAACATAGACACTCTAAAAGCATGGAACCTGAATCAGTGCTTTTGTTTATGATCTTACTTGCCACTTAAGTTATATTTATCATCTTGTGTAGATTCGTGGATGCTCAGGTTGCTGTAATTTCAGGCATACTTGTGTGCTTCTATTACCTTTTGTTTCTTGATCTGCAGGACCTTAAAAGTTCTTGCGGAAGTTCACAAACATGGAAGCTAAGGCACATTCTTTGCAAGTTTGACTTTTTTTGGCAGGACTCACTAGAAGGGTTGCAAAACTAACAATGATCTGGACTATTTCTCTGCTTTAAAGGTAAAAGTCTCACCGTGAAACTGAACCCTGTTAATGTTTTTTCCCTTGTTATTGTGTTACTCTTTTTCAATTCCTTCTCAACATGGGAAAATTTTATATGGGCATTGCAGTTGTTAAGCTTTGGACTTTTAGTAACCCGAGATTTGCCCATCCTGAGAAGGCAATCAAGAGCACACTCTTGGATGAGGAAAAGCTGGATGCTTGAGAGATGTTACATGATAAATGCAGGTGTATATATGTTATGCCTTTGTTCTCTTTAGGCGCCTCTTGTCATTATATTTCTGTGTAAAAATAGAGTGGTGGGTATTAACAAATGTTATACCATGTAATGACTTCATTTAAAATCATTTCGGATCTTCCGTTTGTTTATTTTCATTGCGGAAGTTTCTGCGGTGCGTTTAAAATCATTCCGGTTTGTGTTTGGCTTTACATAGGTCGCAGACGCGTACGACGAAGCTCTGAGCATTGTGAAACTGGATTTGGGAGTGGGCATTATAAAGCTAAGGTGAGTGTTGTACTTTTCATGTTTTATTTTCACATTATAAGTGTGATTATTTGCAGTGTGTCTAAACTTATCTCGGATTGGCTTAGTTTGGATTTTATTTTTTCAAACACTGATCATACTTCATTTCTTGCTAATCATGAGTTTATTTTCCAGTTAAGCTCTATTATGTCTACCGTTTTGAAATTTTACATTTGAAAACAGTGAAGAAAGAATATTAATTTAAAACTAACTTCTCATTCTGTAGTAATTGAGAAGAAAGACTTTATTGCAAGCATTAGTTTTTTTTTTTTTGATATTGTGAGTTATAAGTTTGTTTGTTTAAAATATATATATGATCCTTGGAATTTGTTGTTAACAACTAAAATTGATCATAGTTCTAAAAAGAATTCTAAAAAGAATTCATGTAAGAAAAGTTGATATTCAGAATCCTAAAGTATAAAGTGAAGTTTTTTCTGAGTGAGGTAGTATTACTACGATCAGGAGGGTTATTCTATCGATAATGTTAAATGAATGAATACTTTTTGTTAAATTACTTTTGTAATTAGTTGCAGGTTGATGTCCTTATTCTTTTGTGGATTATTGTTTGTTGCTAGAACAACCAAAGTGTTATATATACTCCGATCTGTTACATGTTGTTTTAGTTCTCAGTTAAAACTCCTAAACATCACTAATCATACTTTGTTTCTTACAAATCATGAGTTTCTTCTAGTTGCGCATGATGTCTACCTTTTTTTAAATTTACATTGGAAAGCAATAGTGAAAGAATAATGGTAGTTATGCTTGGTCTCTACCAACTTTTTCCAAAGCCCATTAAATCTTAAGATGAATGGTAGTTAATTGAATTCTTAAAGTTAGTATAATGATTTTGAGAACCTCCTTCCAAACAACTTTACAACTCTTTACTAGTCTCGGAAATTTACTCATATTTATTAAAAAATCTAGATGGACAAGCATCTGGAGAATCGGATATCCAATTTCATATAAAAGTTTGTTACGTTTATTGTCTAATTTATTTTCATTGCGTAAGTTTGATTGCTTTGCAGAGCCTTTAAAATCATTTCGGATTGTGTTTGGGTTTATATAGGTCGCAGACGCGTACGATGAAGCTCTGAGCATTGTGAAACTGGATTTAAGAGTGGGCATTATAAAGCTAATGTGAGTGTTGTACTTTTCATGTTCTATTTTCACAGCATAAGTTTGATTATTTGCGGTGTGTTTAAACTCATCTCGGATTTGCTTAGTTTTTTTTTTTCCGAACACTGATCATACTTCGTTTCTTGCAAATCATGAGTTTATTTTCCAGTTAAGCTATATTATGTCTACCTTCTTGATATTTTACATTTAAAAGCAGTGAAGAAAGAATAGTAATTTAGAACTAATTTGATTGAATTTGTAGGTATTTGATTGAATTTATATTTTTTATTGAGTTAAGATATTTTTGGGGTGTGCAGTTGTATATTTTTTACAAAGGCAATCAAACCTTAAGATAAATGGTATTTGATTGAATTTATTGAGTTAAGACCCGAGAGCTTTCTTCTGAACAACTTTAACAACTATTTACAAGCCTTCGAAATTCACTCATATTTATTCGACCATCTAGATGGGCTAGCTTCTAGAGCGTAAGTTTATTATACATGTCGCAGATGCATATGACGTAGGTTGGAGTACTATGAAGTTCAATTTAGGAGTGGGTGTTATTGGGCTTAGGTGAGTGTTGTGGTTTTTATATTAGGGAAGAAATGAATAAGTTTGATTATTTGTCGGTGTGTCTAAAATCATCTCGGATTGGCCTTCTTTGTTTTTGATTTTACGAGCGGGCTAACGTTGAGAAAGTTGTAAAGTAATTCATTCACAAAATTTGTTAAGTTCAGTGCATGATTTATTTTCCCGTTAGTGTTTTTTAAAAATCAGTTCCGGGTTTGTTTGGCTTTACACAGGTTACACACCGAAGCGCAGCATCAAGATTCGAGCACATTGAAGTTGGAGGTAGGCGTAGGTGATTGTCAGCTTTTTTTTTTATATTGTGAGTTTTATCATCTCTGTAATTTGTTGTTTATAACTAAATATTTTCATAGTTCTAAAAAGAATTCATGTAAGAAAAGTTGATATTCAGAATCCTAAAGTATTTAGTGAAATATTTTCGTAGTGAGGTTGTATGAATGAATACTTTTTGTTAAATTACTTTTGTAATTAGTAGCAGGTTGATGTCCTTATTCTTCTGTGTTGTATTGTTTGTTGCTTGAACAACCAAAGTGTTATATATACTCCGATCTGTTACATGCTGTTTTAGTTATCTGTTAAAAACACCGAAACAGTACTAATCATACTTTGTTTCTTACAAATCATGAGTTTATTCTAGTTGGGCTTGAAGTCTTCCTTTTTTTAAATTTTACATTTAAAAGCAATAGTGAAAGAATAATGGTAGTTATGCTTGGTCTCTACCAACTTTTTCCAAAGCCCATCAAATCTTAAGATAAATGGTATCCTTTAAAAACTCCTAAACAGTTGGCTTTATTTAGGTCGCAGACGCGTACTGTGAAGCTCCGAGCATTGTGAAACTGGATTTAGGAGTGGGCATTATAAAGCTAAGGTGAGTGTTGGACTTTTCATGTTTTATTTTCACAGCATAAGTTTGATTATTTGCAGTGTGTTTAAACTCATCTCGGATTGGCTTAGTTTGGTTTTTATTTTTTTCGAACACTGATCATAATTCGTTTCTTGCAATTCACCAGTTAAGCTATATTATGTATACCTTCTTGATATTTTACATTTAAAAGCATTGAAGAAAGAATAGTAATTTAGAACTAATTTCTCTACTCGCAGTTTTGGGTGTGCAGTTTTATATTTTTTGCAAAGGCCATCATACCTTAAGATAAATCGTATTTGATTGAATTTATTGGGTTAAGAGCCGGAAGCTTTCTTCTTAACTACTGAAACAACTATTTACTAGTCGCTGAAATTCACTCATATTTATTGGACCATCTAGATGGGCTAGCGTCAAGAGAATCTGAAATTACTTTATATATATAAGAGTTTGTAAAGTTTATTTTAAATTTATTTTCAGAGCGGAAGTTTAATTATTTGGTGGTGTTTAAAAATGTTTCGGATTGTGCTTTTATTTATACTGGCTGCAGATGCATATGGCGGAGGTTGGAGCTCTATGAAGTAAGAGTGGGTGTCATCGGGCTTAGGTGAGTGTCGTGGTTTTTATTTTAGTGAAGAAATGAATAAGTTTGATTATTTGGCGGTGTGTTTAAAATCATCTCGGATTAGCCTTATTTGGTTTTAATTTTACGAACAGGCTAACGTTGAGAAAGTTGTAAAGCAATGTAATCACATAATTTGTTAGGGTTTATTGTATGATATATTTTCCCCTTCAGTTTTTAAAAAAAATCCGTTTGGGGTTTGTTTGGCTTTACATAGGTCATACACAGAAGCACAACATCAAGATTCGAGCACATTGAAGTTGGAGGTAGGCGTGGGTGATTCAGACTGAGTAAGTGTTGTGATTTTTAGTTTCTAGTAATTGACAAGAATGACTTTATTGCAAGCGTTAGTTTTTTTTTTGATATTGTGAGTTTAAGTTTGTTTGTTCAAAAGTTTTATCTTCCCTTTAATTTGTTGTTTATAACTAAAAAATTTCATAGTTCTAAAAAGAATTCATGTAAGAAAAGTTGAAATTCTTTTTGATATTGTTGTTAAATTACTTTTGTAATTAGTAGCAGGTTGATGTCCTTATTCTTCTGTGTTGTATTGTTTGTTGCTTGAACAACCAAAGTGTTATATATACTCTGATCTGTTACATGCTGTTTTAGTTATCTGTTAAAAACACCTAAACAGTACTAATCATACTTCGTTTGTTACTAATCATGAATTTTTTCTAGTTGGGCTTTAAGTCTTCCTTTTTTTAAATTTTACATTTAAAAGCAATAGTGAAAGAATAATGGTAGTTATGCTTGGTCTCTACCAACTTTTTCCAAAGCCCATCAAATCTTAAGATAAATGGTAGTTAATTGAATTCTTTAAGTTTGTATAAAGATCCCGAGAACCTCCTTCCAAAAAACTTTACAACTCTTTACTAGTCTCGTAAATTTACTCATATTTACTCAAAAATCTAGATGGCCAAGCATCTGGAGAATCACATATTCAATTTTAGATAAAAGTTTGTCAAGTTTATTGTCTAAGTTATTTGAAGTGTGTAAGTTTGATTGCTTTGCAGTGCGTTTAAAATCATTTAACAAGATCTTTGGCTTTATATAGCTCCGAGCATTGTGAAACTGGATTTAGGAGTGCGCATTATAAAGCTAAGGTGAGTGTTTGACTTTTCATGTTTTATTTTCACAGCATAAGTTTGATTACTTGCAGTGTGTTTAAACTCATCTCGGATTGGCTTAGTTTGGTTTTTATTTTTCAAACACCGATCATACTTCGTTTCTTGCAAATAATGAGTTTATTTTCCAGTTAAGCTCTATTATGTCTACGTTTTTGAAATTTTACATTTAAAAGCAATGAAGAAAGAATATTAATATAAAACTAATTTCTTAACTCGTTGTTTTGGTTGGGCAGATGTATTTTTTTTGCAAAGGCCATCAAACCCTAATATAAATGGTTTTTTGGTTGAATTTATTGGGTTAAGAGCCTAGAGATTTCTTCTTAACTACTGAAACAACTATTTACTAGTCTCTGAGAAATTTTACATTTAAAAGCAATGAAGAAAGAATATTAATATAAAACTAATTTCTTAACTCGTTGTTTTGGGTGGGCAGTTGTATATTTTTTGCAAAGGCCATCAAACCTTAAGATAAATGGTATTTGATTGAATTTATTGGGTTAAGAGCATAGAGATTTCTTCTTAATTACTGAAACAACTATTTACTAGACTCTGAAATTCACTCATTTTTATTCGACCAAGGTTTGTTTTTTATTTTTTCAAACACGGATGATACTTCGTTTCTTGCAAGTCATGAGGTTATTTTCCGGTTAAGCTTTGTTATGTTTACCTTTTTAAAATTTTACATTTAAAAGCAGTGAAGAAAAATAGTAGTTTAAAACTAATTTCTCAACTCGTAGTTTTGGGTGGGCAGTTGTATATTTTTTGCAAAGGCCATCAAACCTTAAGATAAATGGTATTTGATTAAATTTATTGAGTTATGACCCGAGAGCTTTCTTCTGAATAACTTAAACAACTATTTACTAGTCTCGTAAATTTACTCATATTTACTCAAAAATCTAGATGGCAAAGCATCTGGAGAATCACATATCCAATTTTATATAAAAGTTTGTTAAGTTTATTGTCTAAGTTATTTTAAGTGCGTAAGTTTGATTGCTTTGCAGTGCGTTTAAAATTATTTAACATTATGTTTGGCTTTATATAGGTCGCAGACGCGTACGGTGAAGCTCCGAGCATTGTGAAACTGGATTTAGGAGTGGGCATTATAAAGCTACGGCGAGTGTTGAACTTTTCATGTTTTATTTTCACAGCATAAGTTTGATTATTTGCAGTGTGTTTTAAACTCATCTCGGATTGGCTTAGTTTGGATTTTATTTTTAAACACCGATCATATTTTGTTTCTTGCAAATAATGAGTTTATTTTCCAGTTAAGCTCTATTATGTCTATGTTTTTGAAATTTTACATTTAAAAGCAATGAAGAAAGAATATTAATATAAAACTAATTTCTTAACTCGTTGTTTTGGGTGGGCAGTTGTATAGTTTTTGCAAAGGGCATCAAACCTTAAGATAAATGGTATTTGGTTGAATTAATTGGGTTAAGAGCCTAGAGATTTCTTCTTAATTACTGAAACAACTATTTACTAGTCTCTGAAATTCACTCATATTTATTTGACCAAGGTTTGGTTTTTATTTTTTCAAACACGGATCATACTTCGTTTCTTGGGTTTGGTTACAAATCATGAGTTTATTCTAGTTGGGCTTGAAGTCTTCCTTTTTTTAAATTTTACATTTAAAAGCAAGAGTGAAAGAATAATGGTAGTTATGCTTGGTCTCTACCAACTTTTTCCAAAGCCCATCAAATCTTAAGATAAATGGTAGTTAATTGAATTCTTTAAGTTAGTATAAAGATCCCGAGAACCTCCTTCCAAAAAACCTTACAACTCTTTACTAGTCTCGTAAATTTACTCATATTTACTCAAAAATCTAGATGGCAAAGCATCTGGAGATTCACATATCCAATTTTATATAAAAGTTTGTTAAGTTTATTGTCTAAGTTATTTTAAGTGCGTAAGTTTGATTGCTTTGCAGTGCGTTTAAAATCATTTAACATTATGTTTGGCTTTATATAGGTCGCAGACGCGTACGGTGAAGCTCCGAGCATTGTTAAACTGGATTTAGGAGTGGGCATTATAAAGCTAAGGTGAGTGTTGGACTTTTCATGTTTTATTTTCACAGCATAAGTTTGATTATTTGCAGTGTGTTTTAAACTCATCTCGGATTGGCTTAGTTTGGTTTTTATTTTTAAACACCGATCATATTTTGTTTCTTGCAAATAATGAGTTTATTTTCCAGTTAAGCTCTATTATGTCTACGTTTTCGAAATTTTACATTTAAAAGCAATGAAGAAAGAATATTAGTATAAAACTAATTTCTTAACTCGTTGTTTTGGGTGGGCAGTTGTATATTTTTTGAAAAGGGCATCAAACCTTAAGATAAATGGTATTTGGTTGAATTTATTGGGTTATAAGAGACTAGAGATTTCTTCTTAATTACTGAAACAACTATTTACTAGTCTCTGAAATTCACTCATATTTATTTGAGCAAGTATTGGTTTTTATTTTTTCAAACACGGATCATACTTCGTTTCTTGCAAATCATGAGGTTATTTTCCAGTTAAGCTTTATTATGTTTACCTTTTTAACATTTTACATTTAAAAGCAGTGAAGAAAAATAGTAGTTTAAAACTAATTTCTCAACTCGTAGTTTTGGGTGGGCAGTTGTATATTTTTTGCAAAGGCCATCAAACCTTAAGATAAATGGTATTTGATTAAATTTATTGAGTTATGACCCTAGAGCTTTCTTCTGAATAACTTAAACAACTATTTACTAGTCTCGTAAATTTACTCATATTTACTCAAAAATCTAGATGGCAAAGCATCTGGAGAATCACATATCCAATTTTATATAAAAGTTTGTTAAGTTTATTGTCTAAGTTATTTTAAGTGCGTAAGTTTGATTGCTTTGCAGTGCGTTTAAAATCATTTAACATTATGTTTGGCTTTATATAGGTCGCAGACGCGTACGGTGAAGCTCCGAGCATTGTTAAACTGGATTTAGGAGTGGGCATTATAAAGCTAAGGTGAGTGTTGGACTTTTCATGTTTTATTTTCACAGCATAAGTTTGATTATTTGCAGTGTGTTTTAAACTCATCTCGGATTGGCTTAGTTTGGTTTTTATTTTTAAACACCGATCATATTTTGTTTCTTGCAAATAATGAGTTTATTTTCCAGTTAAGCTCTATTATGTCTACGTTTTCAAAATTTTACATTTAAAAGCAATGAAGAAAGAATATCAGTATAAAACTAATTTCCTAACTCGTTGTTTTGGGTGGGCAGTTGTATATTTTTTGCAAAGGGCATCAAACCTTAAGATAAATGGTATTTGGTTGAATTTATTGGGTTATAAGAGCCTAGAGATTTCTTCTTAATTACTGAAACAACTATTTACTAGTCTCTGAAATTCACTCATATTTATTTGACCAAGGTTTGGTTTTTATTTTTTCAAACACGGATCATACTTCGTTTCTTGCAAATCATGAGGTTATTTTCCAGTTAAGCTTTATTATGTTTACCATTTTAAAATTTTACATTTAAAAGCAGTGAAGAAAAATAGTAGTTTAAAACTAATTTCTCAACTCTTAGTTTTGGGTGGGCAGTTGTATATTTTTTGCAAAGGCCATCAAACCTTAAGATAAATGGTATTTGATTAAATTTATTGAGTTATGACCCGAGAGCTTTCTTCTGAATAACTTAAACAACTATTTACTAGTCTCGTAAATTTACTCATATTTACTCAAAAATCTAGATGGCAAAGCATCTGGAGAATCACATATCCAATTTTATATAAAAGTTTGTTAAGTTTATTGTCTAAGTTATTTTAAGTGCGTAAGTTTGATTGCTTTGCAGTGCGTTTAAAATTATTTAACATTATGTTTGGCTTTATATAGGTCGCAGACGCGTACGGTGAAGCTCCGAGCATTGTGAAACTGGATTTAGGAGTGGGCATTATAAAGCTACGGTGAGTGTTGAACTTTTCATGTTTTATTTTCACAGCATAAGTTTGATTATTTGCAGTGTGTTTTAAACTCATCTCGGATTGGCTTAGTTTGGTTTTTATTTTTAAACACCGATCATATTTTGTTTCTTGCAAATAATGAGTTTATTTTCCAGTTAAGCTCTATTATGTCTATGTTTTTGAAATTTTACATTTAAAAGCAATGAAGAAAGAATATTAGTATAAAACTAATTTCTTAACTCGTTGTTTTGGGTGGGCAGTTGTATATTTTTTGCAAAGGCCATCAAACCTTAAGATAAATGGTATTTGGTTGAATTAATTGGGTTAAGAGCCTAGAGATTTCTTCTTAATTACTGAAACAACTATTTACTAGTCTCTGAAATTCACTCATATTTATTTGACCAAGGTTTGGTTTTTATTTTTTCAAACACGGATCATACTTCGTTTCTTGGGTTTGGTTACAAATCATGAGTTTATTCTAGTTGGGCTTGAAGTCTTCCTTTTTTTAAATTTTACATTTAAAAGCAATAGTGAAAGAATAATGGTAGTTATGCTTGGTCTCTACCAACTTTTTCCAAAGCCCATCAAATCTTAAGATAAATGGTAGTTAATTGAATTCTTTAAGTTAGTATAAAGATCCCGAGAACCTCCTTCCAAAAAACCTTACAACTCTTTACTAGTCTCGTAAATTTACTCATATTTACTCAAAAATCTAGATGCAAAGCATCTGGAGATTCACATATCCAATTATATATAAAAGTTTGTTAAGTTTATTGTCTAAGTTATTTTAAGTGCGTAAGTTTGATTGCTTTGCAGTGCGTTTAAAATCATTTAACATTATGTTTGGCTTTATATAGGTCGCAGACGCGTACGGTGAAGCTCCGAGCATTGTTAAACTGGATTTAGGAGTGGGCATTATAAAGCTAAGGTGAGTGTTGGACTTTTCATGTTTTATTTTCACAGCATAAGTTTGATTATTTGCAGTGTGTTTTAAACTCATCTCGGATTGGCTTAGTTTGGTTTTTATTTTTAAACACCGATCATATTTTGTTTCTTGCAAATAATGAGTTTATTTCCCAGTTAAGCTCTATTATGTCTAAGTTTTCGAAATTTTACATTTAAAAGCAATGAAGAAAGAATATTAGTATAAAACTAATTTCCTAACTCGTTGTTTTGGGTGGGCAGTTGTATATTTTTTGCAAAGGGCATCAAACCTTAAGATAAATGGTATTTGGTTGAATTTATTGGGTTAAGAGCCTAGAGATTTCTTCTTAATTACTGAAACAACTATTTACTAGTCTCTGAAATTCACTCATATTTATTTGACCAAGGTTTGGTTTTTATTTTTTCAAACATGGATCATACTTCGTTTCTTGCAAATCATGAGGTTATTTTCCAGTTAAGCTTTATTATGTTTACCATTTTAAAATTTTACATTTAAAAGCAGTGAAGAAAAATAGTAGTTTAAAACTAATTTCTCAACTCGTAGTTTTGGGTGGGCAGTTGTATATTTTTTGCAAAGGCCATCAAACCTTAAGATAAATGGTATTTGATTAAATTTATTGAGTTATGACCCGAGAGCTTTCTTCTGAATAACTTAAACAACTATTTACTAGTCTCGTAAATTTACTCATATTTACTCAAAAATCTAGATGGCAAAGCATCTGGAGAATCACATATCCAATTTTATATAAAAGTTTGTTAAGTTTATTGTCTAAGTTATTTTAAGTGCGTAAGTTTGATTGCTTTGCAGTGCGTTTAAAATCATTTAACATTATGTTTGGCTTTATATAGGTCGCAGACGCGTACGGTGAAGCTCCGAGCATCGTTAAACTGGATTTAGGAGTGGGCATTATAAAGCTAAGGTGAGTGTTGGACTTTTCATGTTTTATTTTCACAGCATAAGTTTGATTATTTGCAGTGTGTTTTAAACTCATCTCGGATTGGCTTAGTTTGGTTTTTATTTTTAAACACCGATCATATTTTGTTTCTTGCAAATAATGAGTTTATTTTCCAGTTAAGCTCTATTATGTCTACGTTTTCGAAATTTTACATTTAAAAGCAATGAAGAAAGAATATTAGTATAAAACTAATTTCCTAACTCGTTGTTTTGGGTGGGCAGTTGTATATTTTTTGCAAAGGGCATCAAACCTTAAGATAAATGGTATTTGGTTGAATTTATTGGGTTAAGAGCCTAGAGATTTCTTCTTAATTACTGAAACAACTATTTACTAGTCTCTGAAATTCACTCATATTTATTTGACCAAGGTTTGGTTTTTATTTTTTCAAACACGGATCATACTTCGTTTCTTGGGTTTGGTTACAAATCATGAGTTTATTCTAGTTGGGCTTGAAGTCTTCCTTTTTTTAAATTTTACATTTAAAAGCAATAGTGAAAGAATAATGGCAGTTAATTGAATTCTTTAAGTTAGTATAAAGATCCCGAGAACCTCCTTCCAAAAAACCTTACAACTCTTTACTAGTCTCGTAAATTTACTCATATTTACTCAAAAATCTAGATGGCAAAGCATCTGGAGATTCACATATCCAATTTTATATAAAAGTTTGTTAAGTTTATTGTCTAAGTTATTTTAAGAGCGTAAGTTTGATTGCTTTGCAGTGCGTTTAAACTCATTTAACATTATGTTTGGCTTTATATAGGTCGCAGACGCGTACGGTGAAGCTCCGAGCATTGTTAAACTGGATTTAGGAGTGGGCATTATAAAGCTAAGGTGAGTGTTGGACTTTTCATGTTTTATTTTCACAGCATAAGTTTGATTATTTGCAGTGTGTTTTAAACTCATCTCGGATTGGCTTAGTTTGGTTTTTATTTTTAAACACCGATCATATTTTGTTTCTTGCAAATAATGAGTTTATTTTCCAGTTAAGCTCTATTATGTCTACGTTTTCAAAATTTTACATTTAAAAGCAATGAAGAAAGAATATTAGTATAAAACTAATTTCCTAACTCGTTGTTTTGGGTGGGCAGTTGTATATTGTATGCAAAATGTAATTTTTTGAGGAAAATCCAAATGTAACTCGCGCATAGGAAGATGTAAATCACACATAAGAAGATATAACTCACGCATAAGAAGTATATTATACAACTTAATATACAACTTTGGTGTAACTTCATATACAACCAAATATAACTGGATGATTGGAAATAAACAACTCAATGTCTTAAAACTCTCTAAAAGATATAAATGAGATTAAATATACAAGTATATTATAAGTGTGAATAAAAAAGTTACAAAGATAAAAATAGTGTATGAATATGAAATGCAATACACTTTTCATTTAAATTAATAAATTTTTTATTATGAATTTATACAAAAATAGATTGAGTGATAATTTAAGTTGAAGATAAAAGTAAATTAAAGTAATACAATTTAATTTTTAGTATTTTGATGGAGGAGGAGAAAAGAATTGAAGAAAAGGAAAATAAAGCAGAAGAAAAAGCAAACGAAAAGGATGTAACTCGCGCATAAGAAGATGCAACTCGCTTATAAAAAGATATAACTCCTACACATGAAAAATGTAAATTTTTCATAAGAAGATGTAATTTCCTGTTTGATAAATGTAAATTGAAATAAACAAATTTAATGTCTTAGAAAACACTAAAACTTTTAAAAGAAGTAAAGGAATATATTATAGTAATTAAAATGTAATTGTGATCTTGTGGAAACATAAAGTAAATTTAGTTTGTTGTCACACACCACGTGTGTTCAACCTAGAGTCAATGAACCACAATTTCAATTCTTTGTAATTACTGGTGGGCGACAATTGAGTGATGAAGTAGTGTGTGCGTGGGAACGAGCGAAGGGTGATGAAGTAAAAACGACGATTGCAGACTTGCAGTGACAGAGAAGAATCAATAGGAGGGTGCGACCTTATTTTTATTTATTGAAACGACGTCGTATTGGGACCGGTATACCATGCAGAAGTTATACTGATCCCACGGTATAATTTGTGCTATAACAGTTTTGACTTAACCAACATCAATTGTACTAGCGAAATCTTTAGGACAAGTCCTTCGATCATTTTTTTCAAATCATCTGCACTTTCGCTCTTCGCTTCAGCCCTGCCATATTCTTCTTTTCTTCAGCCCTCACAATGTGTCGTATGCCTACATCTTCCTTCCATAAGAAAAACCGCAACTCCCAACCTGTACACATTAACATGTTAATGGAAATTTTCCAAATCATTAAAATATATAACGTATACAATAAATGAACGATGCAACACACTTTAATAAATGAATCCAAGGTTGATTCATCAATGTATCAGCGCTTGTGTGGCAAACTTATCTCTCTCTCTCATACTAGACCTGACATTGCCTATGCAGTTAGTGTTTTGAGTCAGTTCATGCATGATCCAAGGAAACCACATCTAGAAGCAGCCTATAGGGTTCTTCACTACCTAAAAGGAAGTCCAGGGCAAGGGATAATATTCAGGAAGGGTGGGCAATTATCAGTCCAAGCCTTCACTGATGCAGATTATGGTGGCTCCCTCGTTGACCGCCGGTCAACTACTGGTCCCTGTGTTTTCCTAGCAGGAAACCTCGTGACATGGAGAAGCAAAAAACAGAAGGTTGTGGCACGATCATCTGCTGAATCTGAGCTAAGAGCTCTTGACCATGGCTTATGTGAACTTCTATGGATCAGAATTATTCTCTTAGATTTACAAATCAAGTGGAAAGGACCAATGGAATTGAGGTGTGATAACAAATCATCAATCAACATAGCTCATAATCCAGTCCAACATGATCGGACCAAGCATATTGAGATTGATAGGCACTTTATCAAAGAAAAGGTTGAAGGAGGTCTCATCGAACTAAGCTACACTCCCTCAGAAGATCAAGTTGCAGATGTGTTTACCAAACCTCTGCACAGTCCTAGGTTCCAGGGTCTTATTGTCAAGCTAGGCATGACGAATATCTACAAACCTAGCTTGAGGGGGAGTGTTGATAAAACGAAGAGACATCATTAATCTAGGATTTATTTTCCTTATTATTACTGTAATTATGTATCTTTAGTGCTTCAGGTTGTATTTAATAGCTGCTGTCTTTTCAGTTCTCAATCATTTATGTTTAGTATTTAGACAGGCACCTAGGGTGCTGAATAGACTCTCTCAGGATTCCTATCTGTATAAATAACTTATGTACTTCTTGTAAATGAATTCAAGGAAATAATATTCAGAAAACTTCAAGAAGCGTAGATGATGATGAAGACGACATACTTGCGAAGGCCTCAACACTTTGACTTTTATAATACCTCCGTTCTTAAATAAATGCAACACTTTGACTTTTATACTATTCACATGTTCTACTTTGACTTCGTTTTATTTATTAATGTAATAATATTATTTTATGAAAAAAATATTGTTAAACTTGTCTCATTGTAATTTTCATAATCTAATTTTTAAAATTTTTTTACTAATAAAAATCATTTATATTAATGGTCAAAGTTGTGTCTCGCCAAGTGTGAAATGTTGACCGTTGCATTTATTATTTAAGAACGGAGAAAATATTAACTATCCCCAAATATAATTTGCCCCGTAATTTGTTATATTTGCCCCTTAATTTGTTATACTGATCTCCAAATATATTACGCATCTTCCGATATCTTCCACGGATCTTTTAATATATTACCACTCCAACGGCTCTTTTGACATCCTCGAGAGGCCATTAGGTCCTTCCGCATCCGTCAGCCGTCACCCTCTGCATGTGCAAAGCTCAATCGACCATCCGCCTGCGAAGCAATCGCAGAAATGAAATGGCCGACACCTATGGGTCTGCCAAGAAGAATGCTTCGAGACCATCAGGTCAGCAGTCTCACCTTCCGCGGGTGTGAAACCCTAGCCCTTCAAAAACAATTGTTCCTAAAGTAAGTTTATCAATCGTGGAAAAGTAAAGATAAGTCATTAGTATATTATTCATGTTTGCATATCTTTATCAGTTCACTACTTTTCAGTTTTCAGGCAGTAGATAAGGTTTTGGAATGACCTATTTGTCGAGTGATGGCACTGAAGTAGTACGTAAAGCAAGGGTTTGAAATTATTCAACCAAATTGTTTTGTAAGTTTTCACCCACCACAAATAATTTATAGTTTTTTGTTGTTTCTATTTATTTGATCTTTCATTTCACCACCAATAGCCACAGATTCAGTTTTTTGTTGCTCAATTACATATGCTTTGTGTGATATGCAGTTCTATTTTTTTTTACTTCCCTTTGAACATTTTTATCTGCATTTTTTTTGCATGATTACATATACTTCTCTAGATTACACTGCGAATTAGATCATCAATAGTTCAGGTCCTATTTCATGACACATACCTTACTGTCTTCCAGGAGCAGATATTAAAACATAGACACTCTAGAAACATGGAACCTGAATCAGTGATTTTGTTTATGATCTTACATGAAGTATGACACATTGATATATTGTAGGATGCTCCAGGATGCTCAGTTTGTTGTAATTTCAGGCATACTTGTTGTGTGCTTCTTTTTACCTTTTGTTTCTTGATTCTGCAGGACCTTAAAAGCTCTTGTGGAAGTTCACAATCATGGAAGCCAAGGCACATTCATTGCAAGAATTCCAGTTTGACGTTTTTTTTGGCAAGACTCACTAGAATGTTTGCAAAACTGACAATGATCTGGACCATTTCTCTGCTTTAAAGGTGAAAGTGAACCCTGTTAATGTTTTTTCCGTTGTTATGTATTATTTGTTTTCTATTCCTTCTCAACATGGGAAAATTTTATATGGGCATTGCAGTTGTAAGATTTGGACTTTTAGTAACCCGAGATTTGCCCATCGTGAGAAGGCAATCAAGAGCACACTCTTGGATGAAGAAATGCAGGATGCTTGAGAGATGTTACATGACAAATGCAGGTGTATATATATGTTATGCCTTTGTTCTCTTTAGGCGCCTCTTGTTATAATATTTCTGTTCAAAAATAGAGTGGTGAGTATTAACAAGTGTTATACCATGTTATAATTCCTGCGTGGTATCAATAAGAAATTATCTTCCGTTTGTTTACTACTACTAGTCCTACATGAACACTTTTCTTTTGTGCCTATTGATTTTGTTTTTCTGAACAGGATAAACTAATTCAAAAGAAGCCCAATCGAAAAGGTCTAAATGTGAATAGTCTACTGGCTGGATGATTCGGATTTGCCTAATCTGAGTATAGTTTCGTGAGATAACCGAAGTCTCCAACACCAAATGTTTTGCCAAGTCTTACCTAGCAGCATCATTCTTGGTAAGCACATATTGGTGCCAGTGATAGCTTGAACCTGCTGATGGTACCCCTTGATGGAACACATTCTTGATAGAAATCTGAGGTTCAAGTTCCTAGAGTAAGTTCCCAAGCCTGGAAAACTATAAAGTGGTTAATAATATCTTTTTCTTTTTTGCTTATCTTTGACCGTTCATTACTTTTCAGGCAGTAGAGAAGATTTCGGCAGGACGTATATGGGAAGTGCACTAGAAGAAGTACGTTCCAAGCATAGTTTAGAAATTATGCAACTAAATTGTTCGGTAAGTTATCTTCTTCAAGCAAGAAGTTATATATTTTTCCTTTCTAATGATTTGATCTTCATGTCACAATCACTAACAGCCTATTCAGCAGTACAAACATGAGCATGAATGCAATTAGATAATTAGTCAAATACTCAATTTCGATAGAGAGCTTGACTGATGGGACCCTAAATGATTTTACGTGATTATAGGCTCATACGTTAGACCATTTCATAAGTGCATATGTAATTCTGAAGTGGTATCAATAAAAAACTTATCATACTTGTGTTTACTATTCTAACATTAGCACTTATCTTTCCTGCCTTTTGATTTTCCTTCTGAACAGGATGAACAAATGAAGGCCAATACGAGAGATCAAAATAAGAAGTGTTGTACTGGATGGAATGCCAAAGAAGCCTGAATCTTTTAAATGAAAAGGAAAAGGAAATGTTAAGTCTTGAGTTCGAAATTGCAATCAGGACAGGGAAGGCGTGTACCGAAGAAATTGTTTTTGACGAAAAAATGGATACAAAAACCTAAAAAAAAAACGAAACGAATAAAAAAAAGAAAATTAAAAAGCCAAAAAAAAACAACAATCATGGCACTGAAGTAGTATGTTAAGCACGTCTTTGAAATTATTCAACTAAATTGTTTTGTAAGTTTTCTCCCACCAGAAATAATTTATAGTTTTTTGTTGTTTCTATTTATTTTATCTTTCATTTCACCACCAATAGCCACAGATTCAGTTTTTTGTTGCTCAATTACATATGCTTTGTGTGGAATGCAGTTCTATTTTTTTTTTACTTTCCTTTGAACATTTTTATCTGCATTTTTTGTTGCATGATTACAAATGCTTGTCTAGATTACACTGCGAATTAGATCATCAATAGTTCAGGCCCTGTTTAATGACACATACCTTGCTGTCTTCCCGGAGCAGATATTAAAACATAGACACTCTAAAAGCATGGAACCTGAATCAGTGCTTTTGTTTATGATCTTACTTGCCACTTAAGTTATATTTATCATCTTGTGTAGATTCGTGGATGCTCAGGTTGCTGTAATTTCAGGCATACTTGTGTGCTTCTATTACCTTTTGTTTCTTGATCTGCAGGACCTTAAAAGTTCTTGCGGAAGTTCACAAACATGGAAGCTAAGGCACATTCTTTGCAAGTTTGACTTTTTTTGGCAGGACTCACTAGAAGGGTTGCAAAACTAACAATGATCTGGACTATTTCTCTGCTTTAAAGGTAAAAGTCTCACCGTGAAACTGAACCCTGTTAATGTTTTTTCCCTTGTTATTGTGTTACTCTTTTTCAATTCCTTCTCAACATGGGAAAATTTTATATGGGCATTGCAGTTGTTAAGCTTTGGACTTTTAGTAACCCGAGATTTGCCCATCCTGAGAAGGCAATCAAGAGCACACTCTTGGATGAGGAAAAGCTGGATGCTTGAGAGATGTTACATGATAAATGCAGGTGTATATATGTTATGCCTTTGTTCTCTTTAGGCGCCTCTTGTCATTATATTTCTGTGTAAAAATAGAGTGGTGGGTATTAACAAATGTTATACCATGTAATGACTTCATTTAAAATCATTTCGGATCTTCCGTTTGTTTATTTTCATTGCGGAAGTTTCTGCGGTGCGTTTAAAATCATTCCGGTTTGTGTTTGGCTTTACATAGGTCGCAGACGCGTACGACGAAGCTCTGAGCATTGTGAAACTGGATTTGGGAGTGGGCATTATAAAGCTAAGGTGAGTGTTGTACTTTTCATGTTTTATTTTCACATTATAAGTGTGATTATTTGCAGTGTGTCTAAACTTATCTCGGATTGGCTTAGTTTGGATTTTATTTTTTCAAACACTGATCATACTTCATTTCTTGCTAATCATGAGTTTATTTTCCAGTTAAGCTCTATTATGTCTACCGTTTTGAAATTTTACATTTGAAAACAGTGAAGAAAGAATATTAATTTAAAACTAACTTCTCATTCTGTAGTAATTGAGAAGAAAGACTTTATTGCAAGCATTAGTTTTTTTTTTTTTGATATTGTGAGTTATAAGTTTGTTTGTTTAAAATATATATATGATCCTTGGAATTTGTTGTTAACAACTAAAATTGATCATAGTTCTAAAAAGAATTCTAAAAAGAATTCATGTAAGAAAAGTTGATATTCAGAATCCTAAAGTATAAAGTGAAGTTTTTTCTGAGTGAGGTAGTATTACTACGATCAGGAGGGTTATTCTATCGATAATGTTAAATGAATGAATACTTTTTGTTAAATTACTTTTGTAATTAGTTGCAGGTTGATGTCCTTATTCTTTTGTGGATTATTGTTTGTTGCTAGAACAACCAAAGTGTTATATATACTCCGATCTGTTACATGTTGTTTTAGTTCTCAGTTAAAACTCCTAAACATCACTAATCATACTTTGTTTCTTACAAATCATGAGTTTCTTCTAGTTGCGCATGATGTCTACCTTTTTTTAAATTTACATTGGAAAGCAATAGTGAAAGAATAATGGTAGTTATGCTTGGTCTCTACCAACTTTTTCCAAAGCCCATTAAATCTTAAGATGAATGGTAGTTAATTGAATTCTTAAAGTTAGTATAATGATTTTGAGAACCTCCTTCCAAACAACTTTACAACTCTTTACTAGTCTCGGAAATTTACTCATATTTATTAAAAAATCTA